CCAGAAACTTTGTTTGGTTTACCTGATAAATTTTGTCTGTTTTTATAAAAATATTAGGTTCAAATGCTGTTTTTGACTGTTTAGTTGAAAAGGATATTAGATTTGATTTTGTTGTGCTGATAAGCAGATTTCTTTCATCCAAAAACTTTTTTATAGAGAGAAGACTCCTGTTTAAGGATTTTTCAATAGTTGAATTGGATTTTCCTGAAAACAAAACATTAGAGTCATCGGCATACAGACACATAGATCCATCACTGACCGGGATTAACTCTGGCAACCCCTTAATGTAACAGAGGAACAAAAGAGGCCCCAAGATCGATCCCTGGGGTACTCCATATCGTAGTGTCTGCCGCTGAGATCTAAACTTTTCAATATATTTAGTATTTTTTTGCTCTATTATGTAGTCCACTTCAACAAACTGTTCTCTGTTTTCTAAATATGAAGTGAACCACTGTAATTCTTTTCCAATTATTCCTAATTCATTTAAGATATTTAATAGTTTACAATGTGAAACGCTGTCATAAGCTCTACTAAGGTCTAAAAATATTCCAACTACTTCATTATCACCATTATCTACTGAATTTATTATTGATTCAATAAAATCACAAGTGCACTAGTACTTAGTAGAGTTCAATTACAATTTGATGGATTTAACCAATACTTTTTCTATTGCACTTCTTTTCAGCTGTTAAATTTCAAACAATACGTTTAGCTACATCATTAACATTATTATCATCGTCATCGTTTGAGTTTGGGTTTGCGGCAATGTACTTTTATGAATAAAACCTTTAATTTGATACCAAACTTGACCTCTGCTGCTATTAATTGACTGTATGGGCTATTAATTAACAGCTGTGTCCAAAGCTTCTCCGCGCCAAGAAGCTCGACCTTGACCGGGATGCGGTGTAGTTCTTAAAAAAATAATTATAATAATGCCAGTAACAGTGCGAGCCCTGTGGGCTTAGGTCACATGTTGGCCTGACAGAACAGAGGTGTCCAACAGAGCAGAGGGGGTTTTTTAGTGAGTAGTCTGTGATAGATTCAGGAGTCTCACACTACAGGCTGACTACCTGTGTGTAGTGATGTGCGTATCGATACAAGGACCTCAAATTATCGATATTTTGTATCGATACGTGGGAGTGTATCGATATGCCCGTATCGATACACCTATAGCCAATATTGTATCGAATATCGTATTGTTTATTTATTAATATAAATCTTATTTTTATGGTAAGAAATTTGTCTTCCCATCTTCCTCCCCTCAAAAGTAGTAGTGGAAATTTGATATTTTACCCTAGCATCTTCAAAAACACTGATAAAACACTGTATTTTCAGCTATGTTTTGCAAAAAACCTCAAAACTAGGGCACAGCCGCCTTTAACTCCAGGGGCCTATTTCATAATAAAGTACAAACTAATATTATTAGTAAATCAGCTGATCACCTAATGCAAATCTTATTGAAATTACAAGTTACAAGTTGTAACTTGTAACTTGTAGTTTATTATGAAATGGGCCCCAGGCCGCGGCCTTCGAACTGGCAACGTCGCAAGTGGTGTTGTAACAGCTGTTTTTGTTTGGAAGTAGCTAAGGTATTTGTGTATTTACGAAAAAAGATTGGTTACTGAACTATGACAATATTGACTCCGCTTAAAAATGTACAGATATAGATTTTAATTCATATTGTTTCGGGTTTCAATTCTGTATGTTTTATTTTCAATATTTTAATAAATTTATGTTCATAAATTTAAATTTAAATCATTAAAGTGCGAATTAATGAGCTGATGTCACCTGTCTGCCATGTTATCTTATGGGACGTCTGTCACTAAACAACATACCACTTGCGATGTTGCCAATTCTACTAGGCCGCAGCCTGTAGTTAAAGGCGGCCGTGACTAGGGTCACCATTAATGGAAGTGGGGACCCTCATTATCCATATTATACTATTTAATGTGCAAGTGGCATACCCACCATCATTATTAGTACTTTTTGGTTCAATTAATTATCCCTGTGTAAAATCTAGGAAAACAATAACAAAATGTTTTCAAAATTTGAGGGTTTACCGGAATTTGGAGGTTATGTAAGTATGTTTGACACAAATAAAAAGACACAGGAAGGAAACGGCTTTTCTGAGGTAAGATTACAAGCACGTTCCTCTTTTCAAGCTTGTAAGTTACATAGTATTTGTCTATGCAGCTTGAATATTTGAGATATTTAAATGTTTAAAAAAATTATAAATAAACGATACGATATTTTATCCGATACAGATAAAAATCGATACATGATGATACGATACGATACACCACGTTCCGATACGAATCGATACGCAGTATCGATACATTGACCCGTATCGCCCATCACTACCTGTGTGCTAGAAGCATTTCCCTCCTCACCCTAAAAAAAACAGTTTTATCTATATAGTTAAAAATACAGAGTGGTAAAAAAGTCCCAGGACAATTAAACATTTTAAAAATAATGTAGATAAAGCTACAATACTTGGCACAAAGTTACTACAGGGCATAAAACTCTATTTTAACACATACTGTATTCAGTGATCCAATAACTCATCAGCGGGACGGCCCACAAGGAGTCAGAAGAAAATCTTAAATGGAAGCATAGGTCATTATGCACATCAAATTAAAGGTCTTTTTTAGTAGAATACAATGCCGCAAACTGCACTTCAAAAGGTTGATCTTATAGTATATTAAATCCATTCATTTCCTTGTATATTACCACCAACTAAAGGACTAAAAATCACTAGTCGTAACCTCTAAGAGAGGTTATGTTTTTGTTATAATCACTCACTGGCACCCAAATACAGTATAATCAGCTGGTTGGTGTCCCCATTTGTATAAGCTGGCGGTAAACAGCTGTTTTCTGGACTAAATCCTTGCGTGGGAAGTTGAAGTTCGTCAAAATCATGCATAGTGTGGCGTAAAGTCTATTACAATCGAGTTATGTAACGCAAGGGGGGTTTGCTCAAACGCTACGGTACATTACATGGGGAAGGGAGGTGGGTTAAAATTACGAAAAAGTGTGTTGCGTAATATGTGTTTGGCCCCTTATGACTATAAAATATTTCAATGGTTAAATTTGAGATAATATGAAGTTTCTTAGAACTTTTTAGACGTAAAACAGCATATTTTTTTACACCATTGTAATTCTTCATGAATGTACAAGAAACATATTTTTCCCATGGTAACCTGACAAAGTGGGCTTTCTTGCACTGATTATAGCATGAGAAGTAGCTAATTGCTGCATTTACTTACTTTTGCTACACTCAAATATTCCAACACAACAACACAAAACAGTGTGCTTTTATTAGACATTTAATACGTGGACGTTTGAAAATAAGTTGGCAACACTTAAATATATACTACGACTGCAATCAGCTGGTGTAGTGTTTCCTATTTTGATTAACGCTTGGATTTAAACTAACCTAAAACGAGTTTTTGAGTGTTTAAAAGAAGTAATTGTAGGAAAAATATGTGTAACACGAGCGCAAAGTTCCAGTTCGTACAAAGTTACTAGTGATGGTCAAAACCAGAAATTTCAAATCTCAAAACCGAAACCGAAACTTTAAAAAGTCGAATCCCGAATCTCAAATCCTAGACGCGAAACTTTTTTACTTAGCTGGTTACAAGGGTTAAGGTTACAAAAAAATACAGTTAATGATAAGATGTTATGCAATGAAATTGAAAGAGGCCGACTCCTGACACTGACATAATAACATAAATATATGTAACTGAAAAACCCAAAACAACATAATTTTTTTAACATAAAATTAAATTATGCCCCTGACATAAACATGAATATTAGATTTTAATATAAACATTTAGTGGTCAAATTTTATTTGTGTTTATTAAATATCGCCATGAAACTGAGTTGTATGTTGTTCCAGTTATATTATTTAGGCTACGGCCACACGGGCGTTTTTTCACGCAAGAACGCAGCGTGAAAAAACGCAAGAAATATGAGCAGCATTAAATGTAATGAGGTATGCCACACGCAGTGTGTTTCCCCGCAGTAGCGGGTGTCTATTTGTTTCAGCTACTCTAATTTATTCGCGTGTTTTCACGCTGCGTTTGTGCGTGAAAAAAACGCCCGTGTGGCCGTAGCCTTAAGATGCCTTTTGAAGTTCAGAATCAGAATACAATTTACTGTTATCTGTTTGATATTGCTACCAGCTTGTGTGGAAAGTGTAAACAGTGTTAGACACAATAATAATGACGCAAAATATGTCAGCAGTTTCAAGAATAAAACTGCCAAAATCTTCAATTTCGAAACTTTTGAATCTCGAAACTCGGTGATCGAATCTCGAAACCGAAACTTTTCCAAAGTTTTGATGGTTTTGAGATTTGAGATTCAGTTTTGACACATCACTACTAGTTACACAAATAACTATTGACTTTGACTATAACACCAAAACTACCACTCCAATCACTAAACAAAAAGGGTAAGACCATCTCTAAGGTAATAATTAATTTTTACATCTTCCAGATATTCTTTTAAAGAGTAAAAGACCCTCTCTAGAAGATAACACTTTCAGAGATAATTATGAATTTAGATGAGGAAGCAATGTTCTTAATCTCAGTTAGTAATTTGTTACTTTTTGGGCATCAAAGAATCTTTAGGGAAACCATAGACTTATGCAATTTCCAGGGAATAATGGACCAGTAGTTTTTAGCTCGGTCACAAAAGTTTTATAAGCTTTCCAAAAACCAATATAGAACACATACATTTGTTACAATAACGGTTTTAATAAATAGAAGAATTAAAAAAAGAAGAAATTACTTCTTTTACTGTAAATACTGTAAATTTTTGCTGCCTGGGATGATTGACAAAGCCTATTTCATGTAACACAGATGATCATAGGCCAATGAGGACTTCTGATTTCTACATAGGTAGTTGTAAGATCTACATTAAGGAAAGAAAACACAAACACAAACCGTAACTGAAATTGCATTTTATTGCAGATTATGAACAAAATTATTGTACTGTACTTAAAAACACGAATCAAGGCGAATAGATATAACTATAAGTTTAATGTTTGAAAAAACACCTGATCTCAGAAACAAACTTGACACAAATTATACTTTTGCAATGTGTCTTAGTTTTTAAATGATAAAATTATCATATCAAGTAAATTATATCTTTATTGCTCTGTTGAATGGCAATCAATTTGATCATGTTAAAAAGAATCCAAATTAAATTTATCCTGCTATGAGTAAAAAGTCATTATTTGTGACACAATACACACTTAACTAAGACAACATTGAAATACAATTAACAAAACTATCAATAAAAACTAATTTGTAATAAACAATGGTTGGGAGAAACATTTCAACTGAATAAACATTTGAATTCTAATAGTTTAGGAACATAAATTTAAGCTATTTACATGAGATTATAATTTCTGGGAAACCAATGTAGTCGAGATGATTTTGAACCGGTAGAGAAATTTATTTGAAATAATCAAATCTAGGGATAAATAGATGTCACAGCATTTAACTGTTGTTTTTCAAAGCAATCCTACACTAGGAAAAATGTTAAGTTTCTTGTTGTGTTATTTTATATATGAGCCTTTTGAACAAAAAGTTGAGCTAGCTGTACAATGTCCCTTTGATCAAAGAAAAAACCCTTAAATTTCACATAACCACTATTCCATTTGAGTTTACTGTGAATTTTTCTGATTTAATTTCTTTCTTATAATATCTATTTTTATGGCTTCGGATGAGTAACTTTTCTACCTAGACTGTATTAGCAAATGTCAAAAAGTATAAAGAAAGTTATGAATATTAATTTATATTAGGTAAGGGAAAATTCTACACAAAGTAACTCAAACTAATAGAAACTAAATTAGTTTAAATAGGGGGAAAATATTGTTGTATTTGTTTAGGTACAAAAATGATTTTCTATTAACACACTTTGGCAATCAAGTTTAGGCGAAAATGTTATTGGACAAGATGTTTTTATAAAAATATCACTATTAGAATCGAGGACAGGACAAATTTTACTTTATAGATTAACTTCAGAACATTATTTACATCCTAACGTGAAAAGGATCTGAAACTCTGCACTATATTGAAATACACTTAGGCCCACTTATATGAATGGTTATTTGAAGGTAAATATATTATATAATGAAAGTAAATTTTAGACTTGGAGACAAAAAAGGGGACCAAGTGATTGTTGTAATTGGTTGGGCGAACATCTAAATCTACCACTGACTTTGAATTAACAATTTTGTTACTGTTTTACAAATATGTTTTGGCTGGGGGCCATTTTCTGTTTCAGACATGAAAAAAAATTAAAAACTAAGTTGTGAGTTATCATTGCTCAATAAAGTTGAAAATCTGTCTACAAATAGGGGCTCTTCTATAGCTAGGTGGGTGGCAGTAAACCACTAAACCACAAACCAGAATTGCTGTTTTGAAAGACACATTGCTGTATTGTTAACTTAACTATGATAATTTGTAAAGAATTATCATTGCGAACAAGTTTCACCGGTTTAATTTGTTAAATCTACCATAGAAACTTGAGCTTCACAGTACATTAAGTCTAGTAAATATATATAAAAAAACATACTAAAGAACATGGAAAACGACCTATCTAAATAACGTAGCAAAATTAAAGAGACTTCACAAAATTGAAAACAAAAAATAACAAACTATTGAACACACTAGTGAAAGTAACTGTAAATTTACTAACGTACAACAATTAATGGTTAGTACTTAATAGTTGAACGATTTAAAAATACTATCACAGTTTCTCAAAGAACATAGATAACCGATGACACCCTTTCACCCAATGTGAACCTGAGTCATCGGTAAATCCCGCTTATCTTAGAAAAACTCGGGTACAGTTGTTACCGATGCACAACTGAAAACTACCGTTCAGATATTTGTAAATCGGTACAACTTGAACGTTCGAGGGATGAAAAATGCAGCCATTTCACGACTGAAGCTTAAGTTCAGCCTCGGTGAAAAAGCTTCACTTATTCATCGACGATTTAAGTTTCTGTAACTCTATAAGTACACAGCCAAGAATATTAAAATTAAGAACGATTTGGTTTACTTATAATAATACTTAAATACGAGAAATGTTGGAGTTAAACCTTAATACAAAAGATACATATTTGAACAATATATGTACAATGACTATACACGTCGCTTAAATAAACAATCTCTCAATATTATTTTGTATTTTTCTTACGCTTTGTTAACCTAACGTACGAGGGAGTACCCAAAAGTTTCAGGCTTGGCTGTTGAGCTTAACTTTTGTTCTGTAAAAAAACTGCTGAAACAGATCTAATGTTGAAAAGCACTTACAATGGTGACACTATGGGATTAACTCAAGTGTACAATTCTTTTTTTTTTACGACAAAATGTCAACGGATCTCAAACTGAAAGTTCATAAATTGGATTGACAAAATTATTGAAAAATTCAAGAGCTTGCATTGCAGACTGTCTGGAATCAGCGAACAGGCAGAATTAAGAGAGGAATGATCTCCCATTTCTGCAGATCAATAAAAAAAATATAGTAGTGGTAGAACAATTGGGACAAGTTGTAATGGGGAATATTTTGAAGAAGGTACAACTGTTTTGTTTAAAAATATACTCTTTCAAATAATTCTGGTATTTTCAGGTACCCCCTCATAATAAATATCACACTGTTATTATGTAGCAATATTAACCTATCAAAATTCTTAAATGCACGTTTGTTTAAGACATCTTTTGCCAGAACGTCAAACATTGTTACTAATAAAACCCTTAATACTCATTGTTGCGTAAAATACAATCTCAAATGTTACTGTTAAATAGATTTGTTAACCTACTAAAATATTATGTCACTTTTACATTGTGTTATGTCACACTGTTGACATATACTTTTTAAATGCATGAAAATCTTTTGCCACATAAAGCAACATTATAAAATCTACAAAAAATGGTAAAGTTGAGTGGCAAGGCTTGCTTGATGTACAATTCATTTTCAACAAACATCGTATAAAAAAACAAAAACTACTTCCAATTATTTCAGCTGTCGCAGCAGCTATCTTATACTATAAAAACAACATTGTAGACTCCTTTTACAATCAATGTGGCAAGGCTGTTTCAAATAAACAATACATTTTCACTTGGAATGTAACGATTCTCCGTTCACCACTGGGTAGCATTGTTGACTCTCCTGGTCACTAGGCCTCGTTTCTTGAGTTGTTTCAGAGCACATTTTGCTGCAGTACACTTGGCGATGCGATAGTTCCGACCGATGCCTTTGAAAACCCCTTTGCTAAATACTTCTACAGTCACCCGAACCCTCCTGCCATCTGCAAGTTTTTCAGGTTTCCTGCAAGTAATAACAACATTATGATTTTTTAGATATATGAAGGTAGGAATTTTAGGTTTCTAAGTCAACTTTTAATGGACAAACTACTAGTTTTTGTTCCTGTTATTCATGTTTTACCAGCTTCAGGGATTGTTTAATGATTTTATAATATATGAAGATATGAACTAAAACATCCAGTTTCTTACGAAAAAACCGATATTCTTTGACACCCACACAGTAAGAATACAGTATATGTATGAGTAGCAGATAGCTTGATCAGAGGTGAATCCGTCCACCAACCTATGATAGCTCAAGGACCTGATCAAGACAGGATTCATGCTCTCTATCTAAAGTAAAGTCTAAAAGTCTTCTTGGCCATTGATCAAATCCCAACTCAATATGAATGATCAGAACACTGGCTTAGAAATACTCAACACATGTAATCTTACTAATATTATAAATGTGAAAGTTTGTGTGTTTGAAGTTCAATCACGCATTAATTACTGGATGGATTGGTGTTGATATAGTATAAGCTCATTCATCTCAACATATCATGTACAGTACTTGTCAACTAAATCATGTTACTCTGTGGTTTTCTTCTTACTGAAAATAGAAGCTTAGCTCCTTCTTTTCATGGCCTCTGTCTAAGTAAGATGTTGTACAATTGTGAATTATGTAATTTAATTTAATTTTATACGAATAAATAGCTTACGTTTAATTTGTGTGTTTTATTAAATCTCCATTTAAATCCTTTCGGGCTCCGCCCCAGTAGCTCTAGAGTTTCCCATGTTAACCTTATGAGTACTCATATTTAAATAGATTTAAAGAATTTAGTCAGCTGTTTCAACTAAAATGGTTGGTTCTATGATATGCAAAGGCATTAAAAGTTATAAGATTTACCAACAGGATGCAGCAACAAAAACTGTGATACACAATGAGAACTGTCTGTTTACAGTTATGTTTATGTTTTTAATTTCACGAATAATTTGAGATATTTTGTGAATCTTTAATAATTTATTTTTTCCTATTGTTTGGGTGAAGTGGTAGAACATTATGGCTATGGTAGATGTGTAATACTATAGTATACTGTAAATTTAAAGAAGCAAATTTTATCATACTTGTCCTCCCTCATTGCAAACCCTAAGCTTGAGTATAACTGTACTAAGCATTTTATACTTATAAAAAATGATTTTTATGATACAATTCTAAAAGTCAAATTACAGTTAAAGTCAAAAGTCAAAAGTCTAGCGCGATCGCGGCAAAATCATGAATATCTACCACGGTCGCAAAGGTAATCGTCATCTAGCGTGATCAAGGCAAAAATCTGTTTCTCCTTCAGTCACAAAAAACATGATCGCCGTCAAGCGTAATTGCGGCAAACTCATGAATATCCCCCGTGGCCGTACAACATAGTTCATCATAGTCATCTCCCGCGGTCCCGATCGCAGCAAAATCATGAAAATTCCCGACTTTAATGTCAAAATAAAGAATAAATCCCAACGTTTCAAGACGATTTGGAAATTCAATAGCCATTCCTGTTTTTCTTGACTACTAGAAACATGAAACCCTAAGGTATTCTTATATACCTTAGGGGTGAAGTACGCCTCCTGAGCACTGGGAGTACATTAGGGTACATACACAGGAGGGCCGGGATGTATGTTGTTTGCCGAGATGGTAGCTTACTCGCTTACTACTATGTGAAAATAATCTCAAGCTTGACGACCTACCCGCACACAACGGGGCCTAGCTGGTTACCCCGATGGGCCCAGGGAGCCTAGATGGTTTGAAATATAATTGCTACCCCAATTGTTGCATAGCTGGAAGCTAGGTAACCGGTTAGCGCACGGGCACAGTTTGCAGCCGCCATTTGCCTCTTTCATTCAGTCAGTACAGCAATGATCAACGTAGCTACTGGCATCATGTGGTACATTTATTTTGTGAAAGTGTTCTGCACATTTATTGTTGGGAAAGTGATCCGTTTCTGTCATATTGATGGTGTTGGATATGGGTTTGTATCAGAGGTAGGGTTTATCATCCAAATCTGGAACCAGGCCCACTCTGATATTCGAATTCGTGATGTTTGAGATGGGGAACGAAATAACGCAAAATAATTTTTCTTTTCCTTGTTCACAGGGTGAACACATGGTCTTCCATTAAATAACAAAAACCTCTTCCTGACCTCAATGATAGTTGAGACGCGATGGCCGTTAGGCCATTCCATTGAACAACAACATTTTACTAAGTCCTTCCATATTGAATGCCAACAATCAACTAAGGGAGTAAGCACATAGCGTCGTTTTGTGCCCCTTCATTCCGGCCAGGTACTCATCTAGTAAGCAAATAAGCTAAGATCCTGGCTGTGTATATACTCTAGAGTGATATTATTTCAAGTCAAAAACTTAGGTTTGTTACTTTATCTAACAAAATAAACCCCTCCTCGATCTTACATCTTGCTGATTTTACACAGTGAACAAATGCACCAGCCCAAACAATCTTGAAATATAGTGTGTACATTATAAGATCTACCTACATTCACCACCTACCTGCAATGGTTGGGAAACATTGCATTCATTGTCTAATAGGTTTTTTACTAACATACTATAAACTAGATTATCTTACCCAAACTTGGCAGTTTCAGGTTCGAGTTCAAGAAGTTCTCGAATCGGAGATTTGGGGACGTTCGTGCTAAATTGCTCTAAGGAAAAAAAGTTTCATGAGTTTATTGTCATTTTTAAAATGATACAAAACTAAAAACTAATATTTATTTTTCTCCTTAATAAATCTATATTTTACACTCTATACAATACAACTTAATCTGCCCAGTCAATTAGAAATACTATTCCACTTATCAAACAATACAAATTTTTTGATTCATGAAATATATAAAAAAATTCAATAGAGTACATGATAGTAAGATGTGATTTATAAGGGTCCTTGAAAGTAGAACTAGATAAAAGAGGTTAGATAGGCTGATCTTTACTTAAGAATAAGAAGGATAGCAGCTAGGCTTAACTTGAAGAAGTATAGGTAAGCCATAGAACATAGAAGAAAAGAGTGCACACAATATTTCATACACTGGGGAACTTTTTAAGTGTAGCATGTCCGATGGCCTACTTACACTTCTTCAAGATAAGCTAGATGCTATCCTCCTTATTATACAATTCAAAATCTTGACCTAGAGCATTTTCTTGAACAAAACTGATCTTTTTTAAATACAAATGGTTGAAGAGGTTTCACATGAAAGGAAAAAGGATATTTTGAGATTAGAATATTGGCCTTGTCACAGGATTAAAGGGGATGGATTAGCTAAGACAGATAAAAAAAAAGTGTAATATTTAAAGGTGAGATAGTGGTCTGGGGGTAAAGTACAGGGCTTTGATTCCTGGGTTTGAGGGTTTAAATGCCATCAATCACCAATGACTAGCTGCCCCAATGCTCTAGCCTAGCCTGAAGTAATGTGTACAGCGGTTCCTGGCTAGAGAGCAAGATTTTTACAGTCCTAAGATGTGAAGGAAGGGCTATAAATACAGAAATTATAAAATTATAAGAGGAATTATAGGGGAAGGAATGTAGTGGCAATAGTGTAACTGGCTAACCATACACTATTAGTTACGAATGTTCGCCTTGTATGGTAATTAATCACACAACATTGCAAACTGCTATCGCTAGTCAAAACAGTCTTTCACATTTTGTTTTAAAAGTTAGTAGTCTTTACATTGTACGGGAACATTTATTTTAACAACTAGCGAGTTGTGTTTGTTTTTGAATTTGAAAAGACGTGGATGCAATTGTATACTTAGTGAAATGCATCATATTATAATCTACTTCATGATGGATATTTATTGAGTGATGATAAAAATAACAGGACAAAATTATCGCTGAAAAGTTTATGATTGTAAGCGAACTTGGCTGATTTAAAAAGATTTCCAAGGGGATATTATTTCTTACAAATTCATAGGCGAATAGATTGTATAAAATTAACAGAAACTTAATTGAAGTGAAAATGCTTGACTAAACATACCGAACTCTGAAGCTAAGCTGGAATAGTAGTTTACGCAACGATTGCGTTAAGTTAGTCTTTACAACACAAGTAGAAAATTTCAGGCACGAGCCTTGGCGAGTGCCTTAAAAACTTCTACGAGTGTCGTAAAGACTATTAACGCGAGTTGCGTACACTACTTTACCTACGACCGTTTTTTTATTACTAACAATCTGGTTTTTAATTACTAACAATCGCTACTCATAACTTCTGAGGGAGGTTATGTTATCGTTTATTGTCATTGCCACTGAAAGTGTAGTACAGCAACGAATTATTGTACAATCAGCTGATTTCATGTAATTACGTGTTTGTAAAACTTCATTAAATATTACCTTACCTTTTTCAGGGAATAGTTTCTGCTAGTAGCATTCTTACCATAAATGCTGTATCAGGTACAATTACGGAAATATTGTATATTTGTTTGGACAACTGAATAATACAGTATAGTGAAACAATTAGTTGTTGGTATGTAGGTTGGTATGAAAATACCTTTGTTTCGATTTTGGTGGCAAAAGATTAGCACAAAAAGTTTGTGCTCTCATTTCCATCTCATCAACTTCACTTTCATTAACTGACATTTTTAAATCAGATTAATCAAACTTCCTTTAACTTACACCAACTTAGGTTAAGAATACGCGAGTATTAACAGGAACAAGTCGGATCAACAATTAAAATTGTCAACTGATCAGCTGATCAGCTGATAAGTTGACGTTCAAAGTATTACAATTTTACTTCTTTTCTCTGAATCCTTGAACCTCATTGGTCCGTTACCCGTGTTGTTATGAGAAAAACTATGCTGTTATGAAATTAAACTATGCTGTTATGAAAGTAAACAGATGTTAAGTGAAACTTTTCAATTCTAGGAACTGAACTGAAATGGCTACTTTAAAAAACGGTCGTAGGTAAAAAATATATTAGGCCTACCGGTATTGATTCTAATTCCTAAAATTCTTATGTTAGATAAGAACAATATTTACAATATTTTTAATATATTTTAACCATATTTACCTATCTCTGTCTTCATCATCCGATAGTACACATGCCATACAGCGTCTAGCGACATGCCGCTATCTAAGAATATCGCACCAGCTACTGACTCGAATACATCCCCAAGAGCTTTCGGCACCTCCACATCTTCAGCTTCCTCGCACTCTTCCTCTGCTGTGAGGTAGTACTGCAAAATTCATCAATCATATGATTACACAAATATTGTTATACATTTCTGTTTTGCAGAAAATGTCCCTGTGACTCAAAAAGTGCTCTGCGCACAGTGAACGGGTCCAGATTCAAAAAGATTACAAAAATAGCTTAGTAGTTAAGTTACTCTGAACATTTAATGCTTAAAAAGTGTCGGCATAGATTCGTATCATGCATTCTTTGTATTTGACTGAGTTTCTGCGGTTGTTGATTTGACAAGGGACTAAATCTATCTAAGTTATACTTACACATTTCAAGCTCAAAAACAATTGTTTGTTCAGGACATGTTTCGATATAAGATCACCATCGTCAGCTTCAGGTACATCTAATGCATTTGAGCTTTCTAATAGGAATTGTGTCAGTAATTTAGTTTTAATTATGTCTGGTAGCTCAGGGGCTAAAACCATAGATTTTAATTGTTAGATTTGCTCAAATGTTTTTTGGCGTCCATCTCCATATTTTTGTTTCTATTCATCACAAGTTGTGTTTAAACTTCTAACTTATATCCCTCAACATGGAGGGACTAGCCACACTTTACTCTTTATAACAATTTACTGTAGGTACAAGGAAATTATTGTAGCACAGGTAAAATTAAACTTCTATTTTGATTTTTTAAAACCTCAGGAGGACAATGATAGAAAATTTTATAGCTGCAATAAAATCTTGGTTCGAAAATACTTAACAATATCACTTTAAATTCATTACTACCAAGTATTAAAGGACATAATTGATAGGTATACTACTGTAAATTTCAAAAGGAACGTTTTTAAGGTCTAGAAAAGCATAGTATTTCTAAGCATGTCACATCACAATAATTGACGTGAATACATAAATCAGTTTTCCCCTTATTCAATCTTGTTATGAAGTTATATAAATGTTTACATATATGGCGAAATATTTAAGTCAATAAAAGAGCATGGCTTCTATCTTGAAAAACCAGGGTTCAAATCTAACTCATTACCAACAATTATGACAATGCCGAGTTGATTAGAGTTACCATGACTAAAGATCCATCAACTAGAAAACAAAAATGATTACTATCAAATGCTTTACTATGCTTTACACTACATTAAATAATTTCAAAACATTAAATTACTCTGAATATAATAAGCCTCCCTCTACTGAAATCAGGGTGTCCATAGAAGTTCAATTTTGAAATCCCTGTATTTCCCGGCCGATTTTTCACATTTTTCCTGGGGTTTAAAATGTAATTATGCCGACTTTTGGCGAGTAACCGCTTACACTATCAATAATCTAAAGTATGGTAAAGTTAAGTTCTTCAAGTCATATGTCACAGTAAAATAGACTCATACATTTTTTATCTCAAGAACAAGTAAGAATATCTACATGTGGTGGCAACAGTTTAAAAGCAATGAATTAAGTTTTAATGACGAATCTAGTAATTTACCAAACCCAATCTTAAAACAAAAAGCCGTTTTATTCTCTAATTGATAAAAGAAATTTTACATTAAGATTTTACCAAGTTAATAAATAATACCATAACATTCTGCATGATCATAATATAATCTTATATTATAATCTAGGATTATAATATAATCTTAAGATATATAATATATTATACTAACACTATTAATTTTTTTTTCGTTTTATAAATAGTATCGGCAAAAACTTAATTGTACAACAAAGTCTTAGTAAAAACATGTTATCGAGCATTTTTAAAATACTATAAAACAATCACCAATTCATTGCAAAACTATGAACGATTTAAAATTACAAAAGGAAAACATATATATTTTGTAACAGCTACTTTATTGAGCGGTAGCATACTCAAGAGTTCTGCGAAGCAGTGTCAGTGGCTGGCCGGAATTTGAGAAATCGATCCGCTAACTTTTGAGGTAAGCTGTAGGCTAAACGAAGCTGTTTATGAAAAACTTCCAAATGTAGGCCAAACCAGTTAATTTTTATCCTTCCCGACAACTTTGGAGAATAGTTGCTGATGAAATCGCAACTGATCAAAAAAATTAAGGATTCCATACACAAATAAAAATGTCATATCAAGAAACAAAACAGAAAATTTAAGTGCTTATTTTTTAAAAATTTTCTAACCTATTTATCATTGGCTTTTTCACTCAACTATGAATTCATCGCCGTGAAAATATTGTTTTGTTAATGAACAACAAAGTTTCAGAATTTTATCTCAACTCTATTTATTTTGCGGTGGGCTTGAAATGCTAATTAATATATGCACTCGTTGCACGCGGCGGTTTGGCCGGTGGGACCTATGATTAGTGAAGAAGTGGCTTCAAGAACTACTGTGTATTGGGTAAAGAGAAGGCCAGTCTCGATTATTCCTTGGTCGCTGTGACCCAACTGTTCAAGCGGTACCGTCGCAGTGCAACACGGATAAAAGTTTTAGATCTTTATAATTCAACGGAATGAAAAAAATTTCCAACAAAATTAAAATAAGAACATATACTTCCCGGGGCGGAAGATGACTAATAAATCAAAACTTACAAAACAGCAGCAATCTAAACAAAAACATAAAAATTTAACTTAATAAAAAAAGATTAGTTTAACCTTATGTTAACAACGTACAACGTATTTTTTAACGTATAAATAGTACTATATATATATATATATGAAATTATAGATTTGAGATTAAGATCATCAAAATGTTAGTAGGCAGGAGTAAAATGACACAGCACAGAAATAAGTATTGGTCTCTGGCCCCCAAGATATGCACATGTAATTCGTTCCATAGGCTTTAGCGCCGAGTCTACCCTTCCCTCTCCTATCCTAACTTAGCACACGTCACGTCGCTCGGCAAGCAGGTGGTTGGAGCAGTCAAGGTCATTTGTACCCCGCCACACCATGTCTTCGCTTTGACTCATCGCTCCCTCTCCCAATCACGTCACAAAATTACAAACACATTGGTTAGCTGTGTTTCATTATATTTTATCATTGTTGTTCGCTGTTCCAAATGTTTATTAATGTAACATTTTTTCATTGTTTATCAATAATTGTTAAAATCTGACTACTTTTAATTCTATGATAGGTTTGGTATATTATTGAATTCTGTGTCATGGTATACTTTAAAAAACAAGGTCCGAAACAAAAGACTGATTGAATAAAAAAGCACTGGGAAATAACAAAAATTATAATAATTGCTCCAGACAAGCCACAAATGGCTTTTATAGTTAAATTGTATGTGTTTTGTAAATTTGTATTTTTTTAAAAATAAATAAATTGAAAATATGTGTAGCCTACAAGTTACAAATAAGATTATAATCCATATTTTCTAGCCCCTGAGCTGGTTCTATAACTAAATTGAAATTTTACCTTTGTCATCCAGCTCCTGATATTATTATCAACTTGTTACGGCCGTTTCAGCATCAGTTCGGGAATGTACTATCCTCAACTGGCCTGTTTTCAAAACCCCGTTTTGACAAATATGTGTGTGTTTCGTGTATATGTTTTTGTGTTTTAACGACGCCTTTTGGCTGAACAGTCCGACGATGGCACAGTGATGCTGAAACGGCCGTAACAAGTTGATAATAATATCAGGAGCTGGATGACAAAGGTAAAATTTCAATTTAGTTACAAATAAGAAACTAAATACATAGTGGTATTCAATGATCGGTGTATCATAAAAAATTATAAATCGCCACAATCTATTTTCAATTACAAGGACCAGAAAAGCTTAACTTTTTGTTGGTTCGGTTTGAAGATTACAAGAATACGATTACTTCCTGTTAAAATAACATAAAAACAAAATTCCATTAACTGATAAGGAAATAATGTTTGCAGGTATCAAGAAATAAGATTTCTAGGAAGTAAGTAATTTTGAGACTGGGCTGTATTGCTGTATTTAGCCGACCGAACGTGAGTGTTGGCAATACGATCCAAGCCTACTGTATTCAAAGTATCCTTATCTTGGGGATAGAATATCATATAGCTTTTATTGATGTCTCATTTTATTTGTGAAAATTAGGCAAAAGATATGAGACGTCCTTTAATGTTTTATGACAATTGGTTGTGTTTTTGTAATTTGTAGTAAGGGAATTTTACCTCCTAAATATTAGATCACGCCGGGCGCTCAGGCCCATGTTTTGAAGTGGATTTCCTAGAGTAGTCCTAGAATCAAAACTAAGGCGCGACCTACATTGGAAGCGGCATTTGACGGTCTGGGCGGGACTGACCAAGTCTGCCAGAAACAAACACATGTAGCGCTGTCTCCCCTCCTACACTGACATTGATAGTAGTGTCGGGAAGGAGGAACGGGTCAGAGCTTGTCAGAAAGGAATCAAAATAGTTTGTTTTTTTCACCCTGGGTCAGACCAGACCCAGAGACCCAATCGCTTTGAATTTTGAAACTTTGACCGAGGTTGGTGCATAGTTGAGGTTATTTATTTTGTCTGTTTGTGAGATTGTGCTAAAATGATTGACCAAGGAAAGTTGATGGAATTAGTGCGTGAGAAAGTGGCTTTGTGGAACCAGAAAGACAAATAATACCACAACCTAAATTGCTGTCGAATTACATTTAATCAAAAAGTTCCTCACCCATTTTTCAAACCAAAAACAATAACAAAAAACTAAACAACAAAAATTAGGGTAAAGTTGCCTAAAATCACAAAATTATAAACAACCCTAATTAACAAAAAAGTTCTATAACAAAACAACAAGTAATAACATAACGTAGATTCATAGCATCTTCATTCTCTACAACTTTATAATAACAACATAATTGCTTGGCTATCAAGTCTGCTCGCTGTGTGCACTGTGACTGTGCAGTGTTTGTGAGTGAAGACCCAAAGGCCGTGAGACTAGACTGGCTGCAGTGTAGGAGTGTCCAACCGGCTCAGTCTGAAAAGTCAGGTGTGGTCTGGTCAGGTTGGCTGATCAGAAAAAATCTGCTTCCAATGTAGGTCACGCCAACCTACTCAAACAATTCATCCTTCGAGCGTTATCTTGTGGTTATTTTATCAGACAGAGGAAAATCGTTGCCAAATGTAATAGTTCCTCTATTGTATTACCTGATAGCGTCAAAAACCAATGTTCACGTATTTCAGACGAAATTCACATATAACTCAAGGGGTTTTCCCGATACAGAAAATTCCTGTATAATTCCCGTTTTCCCCAGTAAGTGGACACCCTGTGAAATTCAAACAATGAAATCATTGTGTTTTTAATTGTTATGTGTATACCTCTTCGCTTATGGCGTGGCTGTTCTCCTCTTGGATTCGCACAAATCTCTCGACAACTTCAGCCAGTCCTGGGCTGAGATGACGAAAGTACTTATGGAAGCCGTGACGAACGGCCAGCGAGGCGAAGATGGTATTATTGACTAACGCGGAGCGAAGGTCGGTCAAAGCTCCAGGACAGTGTTGTCTGGCATCTTCATACAAATGCCTTGTTATGAGGTAGTCTGTAAACACATCAAGTCATGGATTAAACTTCAAGTGTTTTATATTTACCTAGATCAGAAAATCACACACCTTAAACTTAAACATTAAAACCTTATCATTACAGGCTTTATACAGAGGGTCCACTTATATATAGTTCAAATAAAGTAAATGAATAGGGAGAACCTAAATTGTTTTAGCATTTTTTTATTATAGAGTAGTAAGACCTAAACCTGAGACCCCTTTATTTTGTTGTTGTGATTTCCCCTAAAGACCAAAAATACCATCCGTTTAAAGTCTGTTAGTATGATAACTCAATTAAAAAATGTCTGATTTTAATGAAATTCAGTGCAAACATATAGGCGTAAACCTAAGTCTTTTTTTAAGAATTCGTGAATCGGCTTGCTTGGACCCACAACCGCTTTACTGTTTTGTTTTGATGTTTCCAGAGGCATTTAGTAAAAATGTTATATTTGTTTACGTAAGGGCGTGTAAAAATTTACGATTTTGATGAAATTATGTACAAACATGAAACAGGGATTTATGGGGTGAAATTTTTTCCACTTTTGGCCATAAAAAAAATAATAATAAAAATTTTAATCCAAGCCATTTATTGAACCTTAAAAAAACCAAATAATTTAGTACCGGTATACTGAATTGAATAGCATTGTTGTGCGCTTGGTGGTAACAGGTTAAATTCCAAAAAAAGTTTACATATAAAATTGCCATGATGTTTTTAATGAGAATAACTTAACAGTTGTAGTGTGCTTGTTTATGGATATATTTTGATCAAATTTGCCAAATCTATATATTTCACACTAAGCTATGACATTTCACAAACAAATACAATTTATTGAGTTCCCTGTAGCTGCAAACCTCAACTCATTAAACCTAATATAATTTAATTAGGGAGTTAATATTTTTTCAGAGGTTGGCAGCCTCATTTTAAGCTCACATTTGCCTGGCCTTGGGTCTTTGTATGGAATGTATCCAGCAAAGCCAAAGATGATCTGTACTGATAAAATGTGGTGGCAGTGACCAGGATCCGAACCCAAGACATCGCTGCCTTGGGACTGAAGTCTGTGACGCTACCAACTGAGCCACCGACTCACCTAAAGCTATGAGATTTAAAATGTTTCTATGGTTAATTTGGTTTACACCTTCCCGGCATCATATAATGAATACAATTGAGAACAAAATACAAGCAAAAATACACAAGCCATAGACAATTTGCATCAAATACGTCTAAAACAAAAACATGTGATTGCTCTGGTCTAAATTTATGGTGGGACACAGTGGAACTTCATTTAAAAACCCCTCTCTCTAGAAGATATTTTTTAAGCTTTAAACTATTTTTTTAATCCACAAAAAAAATTTATGTTACATATTGTTTAGACATTTTTTTGTGTTGCAACATTGTCTACCGAATAAAGGAATAAGAGGGATAATGAAGCATAAAGATCATAGTTCACAATAGATCATTTATAAAAATCAAGCATTGGATATTATTGTTATTACCATTACCAACTAAGAAAGTGTTGCCTAGGTGCGCAATTTACCCCTAAAATAAATTAAGGATGAGTGTAGAATCAAATGATATGAAATCAAGGTAAAACAAAAGGAAGATAAGCCTATCAAACAACTGCGAAATGGCTGTATTTTGTCTTAAATACTAGAATTATTGTTTCTAAACAAATGGTTAAACCATAGATGAAAAGCTTTTTCCAATGTAACTGTAAAAAATATAAAACTAAGAGATGCAATTGAGTTATAACATCAAACCTTGAAGATAGTATAAGATCAAAAGATAAGACAGTTAATGGGGGGAGGGCATACGATACTAGATATTATGGATGAACATGGAATTTATTATTTTGAACAGGAGATCCAGAAGTGATAAGGACGGAGGGACTGGGCTCTTCAGCCATTAAGCAGTGTCTGTAATCTGTTTACTCCTAGATAGCAATTTTTAAGTTGTACCATCTTTTGTGGTTTGACCATCTCCCTTGCGAAATTAGTTTAGTTTTTGTAAGCATGAGTGCAGAGGAACAGACATGCCAACTAAACAGACGGTTTTATTAACCATTGTTTATGTATGTTTACGGGGAAAAAATTATGTATGATCTAAATTATACAATAAAGCACATTTCCATTCAATCATTTATTCATTTGTTGAGTTTTGTTTCTGTAATAAATTGAGGTTGTGCAACTTGTGTCCTTGTTTTAAGTAGTAAGTTTCATGAACTACAAAGTTCATAAACTTATTGATACATAGTTCTCTTATATATCCTCATTCTGATGGGTAAGTAAGTAAGGGATGGAAATAATATTTCACTTTACATTGAGGCCACTACTATGGACCTTAACACTTATTACATTACATATTGGCAAGCTGAAAGAAAATCTAAAAAATCTCAACTCAGTAATATGTATACACTACTTTCTCTCACCAAGAACAGCGTCTCCAAGAAACTCTAGCCGTTGGTAGCAGTCGGTCAGTCGGTTAGGAGAGTAGCTGGCGTGAGTCATGGCTTGTAACAGATAGCTCTGGTCACGGAACCGATAGCCCAGTTGGCGCTCCAGTACATCGTAGCCGTCCAGCAGCAACTCTAGTTCTCCTTCTGGGTTCGGCACATGCCGTAACAGTGGGGACTTCGGAGGTCGCAGATGTCCATATTTGATCTGTTGATATTTATAGTTTTAACTGAGGTTCACATTTCAGAAAGCAACTTTTACGAAGATACACACAATTACACATAATTTGTCTTTTATTGGACCTCATGCAATTCAGTAATTTAATAATCTCATTTTGGCAACACATGTTGTAGTTAAGTGGCTGTTGATCATACGATATTCCATCAACCATTCACAGCCCAGTCCTGGATCACCTAATTCGCCTTCCATTTGACCAAACTCTTACTCTACCTATAAGGGGTATAAGGGTTCACCTTACACGGCCTAGGTGCTATCACAAGCTTTCTACGATGTAACCAAAGTCTATTTCATTTACCGACATACTAGTTTGTTAAGATATCTCACTGGCAACATTACAATTACATCAGCGTCTCGCCAAGGCAAGGTAGGAAAATACAGAAACTGATGAAAACATGCTACAAGTTATAAGTTTATAACATTTTCAAGTTAAAGCTATTAAAGGCTTTAAGTTTTAAGTTCCTCCTACAAAAATACACCGTTTTTCTGTTTTGAAGCCTTTAGCAAATACTATACTCTGTTCACAAAATTTAGGCGGTTTTAAGGATGAAATCTAACCCCTCCACGTCCTGATCCTACCATCCAAACATAGTTTAACAGCTGAGATTTGTAAAAAAGTCAATCAGCTGCAACTTACTTTGTGAACGGATTAATGTGAAATAACTGGTAAATAAGGTAAGTGGTAGCATAGGTCTCCTTTCAAACTACAAGTTAAACGTGAAGGGTTTTTTTTTTTTTGTTTTTTTTTAGGGTGAGGAGGGAAAATGCTTTTACGCACACAGGTAGCCAGCCTGTAGTGTGAGACTCCTGAGATTATCACAGACTACTCACTAAAAAACCCCCTCTACTCTGTTGGACACAGACCTGGAATTGTTTGTCACATTACTTCAAGTCAGGCCAACATGTGACCTAAGCCCACAGGGCTCGCACCGTTTCTGGCATTATTTATTTTTTGACCTACACCGCATCCCGGTCGAGGTCAAGCTTCTTGGCGCGGAGAACACCCTGGATGTAAAGTGACACACAGGTCCAATTGTCCTCACCCTCCATCATCATCGGTATGACCGTGTCCACCGACAGCAGTCCTACGAACTGTTGAGCCTCTAGGCGGGGCCTTTCCCAATGCTGGCAGTGGAAGAAAGTGTGTTCCACGTCATCGGGAATGCCTGGGCAGTATATGCAATCGGGTGACACGGCTTTGCCCATCCTGAACAAGTACGACCGGAAAAAGCCGTGACCCGTCAGAAATTGGGTGAGGTAGAAGTTCACCTCTCCGCACCGCCGATTAACCCAAGGTTGGACCTGTTGTATCAGTCGCCTGGTCCAGAGCCCCCTTGTCTCCTGTTCCCAGCTCTCCTGCCACAGCTGGAAGGTCCGGGTGCGTTCCTCAATACTTGCCTGGTCCTCCCCACGGCGCTGATAAATTGCCTTCCTCTCCGCCGCCAAAAGTTTGACGGGGATGACTCCAGCAACCACCAGGACGGCGGGTTCGGACACTGTTCGATAGGCAGATGCTACCCTTAGTGCTGCCTGACGCTGCACTCGGGCGAGCCGCATCCTATATACCTCCTTATTGAGAGCGTCTGCCCAGACCTCCGCACCGTACAGGAGCACTGACTGGACCGCAGACATCAACAGCCTTCTGCGGCTGGACCGTGGACCTCCGACATTGGCCATTAACCGACTAAGGGAAGAAACCATTTTAGCGGCCTTGTCCGCCGTACGGGTGATCTGGTCTCGCCAGCTGAGCTTGCTGTCCACCATGACCCCAAGGTACTTTGCGGCACGAGTGGTTTGGACTTCAACGTTCCCCACCATCAAAGGCACGATGGTGTCAATCCTCTTTTTAGTCAGAATGACAATCTCAGTTTTGCTCAGAGCGAGCGAGAGACCATGTTCTGCCATCCATGCGTTAATGGTTCGCATGACTCGATTTAGTTTCAGCTGGGCAAGCTCAATGCTACGTGCAGCTATTAAAGCCGCAACGTCATCTGCATACCCAACTAGGACAGTTTCCTCAGGCATCTCGGATCTCAAGAGGCTGTCGTAGGCGACGTTCCAGAGGTCCGGGCCCAGTATGGATCCTTGAGCAGCACCAGAAGTTACATCCATCGTCCTGGAGCCTTCTGTAGTGTCGTAAATGATGAGGCGGTACCGGAGGTAGTCCTCTATCATGCGCATGAGGTATGCCGGGACGTGGAAAGTGTTCTCCAGTGCGTCAAGCATATCGCACCACCTCGCGGAATTAAATGCGTTTCGCACATCAAGTGTTACAAGCAGCACAACCCGACGAGAATAGTTGTTAAACTCCTCAGCTCTCATTACGGCTCGCTTTACCTCCTCAATAGCGTCAACCGTTGACCGTCCCTTCCTGAAACCGTACTGACGAGGGGATAGATTCCCTGCAGCAACCACGGCTGAATTCAGTCGGGAACGGATCAACTTTTCCAAGACTTTCCCAGCAGTGTCCAACATACAGAGAGGTCTGTAAGAAGAGGGTAGGTCTGGGTTTCCTTTTCCCTTCCCCACGAGCACAAGCCTAGCTGTTTTCCAGCAGAAGGGAAACTTCCCCTCGGCCAGACAGGCATTGTACGTGCTCAAAAGGATTTGTGGGTTTATTGAAAAGACTTTCTTCAGGGCCTCACCAGGTACCCCATCCGGTCCAGGAGCCTTGTTGTGCTTCAGGGACAGAACAGCCGCCTCCAACTCCTCGAGACTGAAAAGCGGTACGTCGTCCACCCTTCCGAACTCCCGCAATGGGCGCAGTGTGTGAGTCGGGAAAAGGGACTTTACGATCCTCTCCATAGAGGCCCCGTCCATAACGGAAGGTGGAGAGCGGGTGCCAAGCTTCTTGGTTACTATCTTGTAACCAAGGCCCCACGGATCGGAATCGACATCGTCCCTTAATTTCTCCCAGCAACTGCGTTTGCTCCGGTTAATGGCCCGGCGAAGAGACTTCCTAGCCACCTTGTAAGCGTCAGACTTAAGACGTCTATCTTCAGGTTCTCTGGCCCTGGTAGCAAGACGTCTGGCTCTCAATGCTGCCCGTCGTAGTTCTGCGATCTCGGTTGTCCACCAGTACACAGGTCGCTTATCGCACCGGGATCTCCTGCGAGGCATTGACTCTTCGCAGGCCGAGACTATCAGCCTCATCAATGATGTAACTGATGTCTCTTCGTGAGCCACGCCAGATGCAGCAGGTACCACTGGCTCTCCCCGTAGTATGACTTCGGTGAATTTGGCCACGTCCAGCTTTTTGGTGTTCCACCGAACGGGCACCTGCCGAGACACGGTAGCTTGTCTCTGATGACTATCCATGACATTAAAAATGATGTACTGGTGGTCACTGGCCGTATAATCCTCTAGGACTCTCCAGGCTCGTATCCTCGGCAAGAGGGACTCAGATGCAAGCGTGATGTCTGGGATCGTTCCCCTCATTCCGGGACGCTGGAAAGTTGGCGTGTTGCCCTCGTTTATGACAACAAGTCCAGCCCTGGCAGCAAAGTCCAGGATGTACTTCCCCCGGGAATTAGTGAGAGTCATTCCCCACTCGACAGCCCTAGCATTGAAATCCCCCGCCACGACAACGTGCCCGGCGGTATCGCGCACGCTCTCTTCCAGGCGGTCTATCTTTCCACGAAAGTCACGGATAGCCTCGTTGGGGGTGAGGTATACACTAAAGTAAGTGACATCCCCGCACCGGACCCAAACGAATCCTCGGCCCTTCGCGTGACTCCTTACCTGCACTTTAGCTGTATTACGAACCCAGAACGCAGCAGTACCAAGTGTATCGGGAAACCAAAGAGATGGGTCCCTGTCCCGGTACTGGTACTGTTCGCTGACCAAGAGCGCGTCAACACCGTGTTCGAGGGCAAGCTGACTGAGAAGCGCGTCAGCCGTCCTGGATCGATCTACATTGCACTGGAGGATCCTTATCTTCGTGGTTGGGCTTTCGCTTGTTGTAGTGCGCCTTTAAATGCACTGCACTGCCCAGACCCAGCTATATGTTTAGCGTTTTTATCATTGAGGCCTTTCTCCTTACAGAGGAAACAGGTCTCAACTTTACAGTCCCTACGAGTGTGACCCACCTCCCCGCATCGAAGGCAGTTCTTGCCTCGGTCGGGCCCTTCGCAGTTTCGGGAGGAATGGCCGAAATCAAGGCATTTAAAACACCTCGTTACTTCCACCCTCCGTCTCAACCTGCAATTAACCCATCCAACCCTCAAATGCTGGAGTGCCAAAACCTTACTGGCGTTTGCGTCTGCCATTTCGGCGACCGCCATCCGCTGTTGACTCCGGTTTGGTTTCGTGAGCCACACCCTCAGACTAGCCGTTTGTCCGGCAAGCTCGGGGACAGCTTTTTTTAGGGCATCAATGACGTCATCCTCCGTTGACACACAATCCATATCCCGAACCTCGACGGACGTCTTGGGTTCGAGAGCACGAACGGTGCCCTGACCTTCCACAGCTGCCTTTAGTTCGGCAGCAAAGGCGGCTTTATCTTTAGACTTACCCAGCTCGAGGAGGACGTCCCCGTCCCGTGTTTGTCTAATTGACCGTACAACCGTGTCAGTTTGCTCTGGCTTAGCCTTGGCCTTGATAACACCCAAGACTTCGGCGAAAGATCTTCCCTCCAAAGGCTTGACCAAAATTGCCTCAGTCCTGGGCTTTTTGGGCCGCGACTTTTTAGCGAGTGCCGAGCCAGGCACAGCTTGGGCCACGCCGGTCGACTGCGCCCTCACTGCCACATATGTCTTGGAGCCGACTTCCGCGTGCCTCAATTTCCTCTTCTCCTTTTTCGTAAGGCGCTTTTCCCACACAGTCCCAGATGGTGTTTCTACGACTGACCCCTTTCGGGAGCTACCCTCAATGGGTGTCGCAGGTTGCTGTGGCTGTTGAGGTTTCGCTGGAGCGGCAACTACGTCAGAGAAGGACCTAGAAGTCTGGGTCGCCTTGACCTTAACTTTAGGCTTTGCTGTCTGAACAACCTCTTCTCTTTTTGGAGGGCTTTCTGATGTAGGCCTCCTGCGTTTCTTGGAAGGTCGCGCATTGTCGTCAGGTAGGGACACCACCTTCTCGGCGATCCTTTCCATGGCCGCCTTGCTCACCAGCCGGCAGGCGAAGACAAAACCAAGGTCGTCCTCGAGCTTAGCCATACCATTTTTAACCACTTGGTTAACTCCTCTCTGCGTCTTAAAGGTTTCAAGCATTGCCTTTATGGTCTGCTCCATGTTTCGAAGCCGGTTTTCAATGTCATTTTCTGCGTCGAGATATTGCTGACGCAGAAGTACCATTCCCGACACTTCCAAATCTAACGCTGTTGTTAGGGATTCCTCCGGCATCCCTTCACCAGACTTAGAGGGTGGTCCACCGTTTCCTTCTCCACTTGTCAAGGGAGATCCCAAAGTCAAGTCTTTTGTACACCTGAAAGATGCAGGTGGAGGGGACGTCTTCACGCCTTTCAATGTTGGCGATCTCTGGACCTTGGAGCTTCGCCCGAAAGGGTCTCGCTCTACTTCCGACTTCTTTTCTTGCTCATTCGAGCTACTTATTAAAGATGTGTTCAGGGTATTTGTTATAAAAGCCATCTTGTGTTTACCAGCGCATCGTGCGGCAAGGGGCGGCCCGGAATAGTCAGGAATGGGTATACCCTCGGGGACAGCGCCCCTACCCCAGTTCCCCGAGGCCCAACCTCCGTTTTCCCAGCACCGGATACCTGACGTGCCGGGGGTCACCCGTCACAATGTAGAGCCCGACCTCTACATCCATGCCGCACTCCCTGACCAAGGACCGAAGTAGCTGGTTTCTCACGACTCACTGAGAATACCCATCGGCAGTGCAGAGCACACATCAACCCCTGCAAACACAACAGGGGCACTCCCAAGGACTCCCAGTGAGAGCGTCGGTCACCCTTTTAGTCACCTCTTACGACAAGCCCGGGAAGGCTGCGGTTCTATTCTAACCCCGAAACCGCAGGGGGAAAACGTGAAGGGTAGCAGGGAGGTATACAGGTATAAGGAGTTGACCAACTAAAAACTTATTCTTAAGATTTTGAGTGAAGTTAAACAAGAAATAGAGGTGTAAGATATCTGCTCTTAAAATACACTTGACATGTACCTGAACATTCTGTGCACTGGTGGATGAAGTGATTTCCTCCTCGGAAGGCAAAACTCTTATCCCGAGCCAAGACATGAACAAAAGTGCGCCCCGTGGTCCGCAAGCTATGAGGTAGGCACCTGGAACAGAATAATTAAATGTTACCAAAATCCTGGTTACAGTAAAACCATCACCCACACCTAACAAGGTTAACAGAAAAAGATAAGACGAAGCCAGACTAAACGACTTTGATTCAAAACTTAACACTTCATATCAAAGTTATACTTAGAAATATTTGAACAAGCAGTTGTACAATAGACAGGGTGATGCAAAAAGGAAGGTAAGATTTGAACTGCATAGCACTATTAAGGGGGAAGGGTCAGGTCCACTGCCGGCCGTCTGTAAGTCGATCATAGTATCCAATTTGTCGTGAGATGGTGCAGTGGACGGTTGAGCACCAAGTTTTTGCTGTCGAACATTTTTTGGAAACAGTGAATCTTTTATTACGGTGCAACTGTACACGTTTCAACAACATTTTGGTGTAGCCCGTAATGGACTGGTTAGTGGTTACTGATCGTAGATCAATAATATCAAGTTGGGTGACTGCATTTCAGACAACAGTGTCCAGCATGAGTGGTAAATCTACTGGACTTCCACCAATGGCAGTTTCTCCAAAAAACATAGTGACCATAAGAGCATCAGTGCATCAAAGTCCGCTACGTTCTTTTTACTGTTTTTAATTTTTTTAATTTTTATGGCTTTATTGACATAGCCAACTAGCAACTTTGTAGTACAAGGTTATTTTTGGTAATGGGGCATTTGAAAGTGTTCAGAAACGCAGGTCAATAAAAACAATTTATGTGTAAAATCATTTGCGTTACATTCATTTCAAAACTGACCATCCTTTTTGCGCCATCCTGTATTAATTCAAAATGATCACAATATGAGGTGTCAAATATTGTGAAGACTAACTGTTTGTCATTGTTGTGTCGGTAGGCTGGAAATATTGTTTGATCTACAGAAGCCTGTGTTGCCGATAAGAAAGATCGGTTGACTTAATTAAAAAGGGTCAGTTTTGTGTGTAGCTGTTGAGTTGTGAGTTGTAAGACAGGGTCCACAGGGGGAACTGGAGCCCATAGCCTTAGCCTTTTGTTTTAAAAATTAGGGTTTCTGTTTCTTACTAAATTATTTACACTGTTCCAGTCTACTCTACCTTTTGGTTGATATTGATGTTTACGTTTTTTGTATGTTTTGTGGGCTAACAATAAAGTTGAGTTATGTAAGTAAGAGCTAGGTTTAACTCTTGAGCTACATCACCCAAACCAAAGTAACAGTGGGTAAACCATAGTGGGTAGCCATGAGGGTTTTCACCATTACAGATGATGGAGGCTTGAGAAGTTTTAGTTTTTTACAAAATTTTGATTCTGGTACCTCTTTGACAAAATGAAATTGGCTTTAATTCTGGGGGGGTCCTAAAGGCCGTGTCACACGTAGGTACTAATCGCTAGGTGTGACGTAGTAAGTAGGGGCGACTAGCACTCGCTGGCAAGTAAAAATTCAGTACTGCGCGAGTAATAGTAAAAGTTATTTTATAGATAACAAAGGCATTTTGGGTTAAGTTTGAATAATCCTACTCATTATCAGGATTTATGGATAATCGGGAGTCTACGGCATTATTTTGTACATGAGCGATGATTGTACCTATAAGTGCTTCCACACAGTCTGCAATACTCTTGTCTGGAATGCTGTGTTGAGTTATCAGGTTATAAGGCACAAAGCAAGGTACGTCTTCTAAACCGTCCATCCCTTCTTCATCACCCATTGCGGCTAGACGTTCCTGAAAACATCATCCAAATTGAGTTGCAATAGTCAATCAACTACTAAATTACTGATTTCCTATAACAGTTACAATTATACCCTTTTTCAACCAATCCTCAAACGACCAACATTAGGTCAGATAACCTAAAAGGTAGATTAAAACCAAAAAAATTATGTAATCATGAAAAATGTAAAACTAAATGTATTATAGATATTACACAATTGAATTGCTCGAATGTATATATCAATACTAGTTTTGCAATGTTTCTTATAGTGTGTGCCACTACATTTTGTAAATACAGTTCAATACAATATCAGCTTTACTGGATACATTCCACACGCAGATTTTTAGTTTATGTATACAGACAAATGCTAGGTTAAAAGAGGTCACCAACCTCTTTATATAATTAAAGGACATAGGCCTACTGTACTTAAGTTACAATAAAATTATGCTTAAATGCTTAAATTATAAACATGTTTTTAGCCTTTCTTGACCTTGCATTTGCCCGTATAGATAGGACTTGGACGTGTACGTAAAACATACCCAAAAAACATGGGATGAGCTGGTACAGTACGGGAGTGAATTGAATATATTTAGTGGAGAGCAGCCAGACATGAACCCACGTCAAAGCAGAACATCACAATACAAATTTTACCACACCAAGTCAGGTATTAACCAGAATATAATAGAGTCGTGTCCACAAACGTTATTAAACAAAGCTAGACGTTTGTGGACACAACTTTAATTTATTACGGTGACAAGGATGGAAACAGAAGTCTATAGATCCCTAGAATAGTTCAGTTTAACTGCCCAATTAAATTTCATGATAGATCAATCAACCTTTGTTTCTGTCTGGACATAGCGTCTAATGCAATTAAAATGGCGTCTTACATTAAAAGAGGATAAGACTTGATTTTGTTTTTAAAAGGGCTAGTTTAAGAGAGAGGGCCACACAAAAAAGTATCTTTTAAGCCTCTGGTTCTTGCTTGGAAACTATTCAGTATTCATTGATATTTACATAAACAAACAAATCAAAACTTTTTTGTCTAGATCTATTAGATACAAACAGGATTCATTTTTTCATTCCTTTATTGTTTGGTATAATACTGTAATTTTCTACACATAACAAACGTGTTGGTTTTGATAACATAATTCCATTCATTTTAGCACTGACTTCTGATGGATCCTCCTATCCTGAATGAAAGAGTCTTCTGAGTTCTGACCTGTTAAAAATTGTACAGTGGTTTAAAGATTCAAACCTACACGTCTCTGCATTTACCCTGGATATCATATCCCTTACATAGCCTCCAACTGACTACATTTTTGAGTTACATTATTTACTGTTGCGGAAGGGGCTGATCTAATGGTTGGAACGAGCACTTTTGTTCTGAATGCCAGGGTTAGAATCCAGTCAATCACCAAAGGAGGTTAGCTACGTCATAACACTGGTATCTGTAAAGCCTACCTGGGAAAACACGAGTCCAGGAGCTAATAACTAAATGATAAAAGGATAGTTTCAAAAAATGATACTTCATCCTAATTATGACTTCTTCGGGAGTCAACTGAAGTGACAACAAATTTAAGAGCATCAACTAAGTCCTGAACTCTTAATTTTATCAGATAAGGTAGCTTAATTTAACCCCTTTTCAGAAACATTCTATAACATATTCAAATTTAATATTTTCTAGTGAAATGTGTTGAGGACTTATTTATAATTGAAATGAAACTAACTCACTCTTCTCAAGACACAAACAATTATAAACCTAATTTAAACAAAGGGGCTTTCACAGTAACAAAAGTCACTTTAAATCTACCTGAACAAGCGCGATGATCTCTTCTCGAGTCAAGTCTTTCATTGCAGGCAACTCTGCCTGGTTCCAAAGGGCTGCTGGAAGACCAGCCTCTGAAAATGACATATCAGATTCAGTACAGAGTTTCCCCCTAAGATTTTCTGCTTCTGTTGCAAACTGTTCATCCACTCTTTTGTTTTGGGGACCATATTCAATCAAATTAGTAATTAATCTTTTAAATTGATATTATTACGTAAATGCTCTGGGGAATGAAAATGGTTAGGGAGATATGGCTAAATGTTAATTAAAATCGTTAAGCTAAAATTTCACAAGAAAAACCTATATTTTGAATGAATGTGGACAACTCTAACTACAGGTAATTTCCACAGAAAGTGTATTTCTACATTATTTATATGAATCAAAGAAAATCCTGTTCCAAGTTTTAATTTTACTAGTGCACCACTCTTTCCACTTGATTTTAAATGGCTATATTTTAAATTAAACATTTGTAATTCTGTAGTAAGAAGTTAAAACACAACATATGTCACGAGGCATTTTCATATAGATTTTAGCGGAGAAAACTCCAATTAATTGACATCAAAGTTAACCAATAACTAAAATCACTTGAGTGTATTTACAACCAATAGTTTGAGAATCAATGGTTTTGAATATTACACTAAAACTAACTTTCCAGCTATCATAGCACAAAAATTATATATCCAAGAATGAAAACAAAAGCTATGTTTTGAGTTGGTACTGATCTATTACCAATAAGCGCCTTCTCCAGTTCTCGAGGTACTAAGTAGCAAGGAGGTAGCCAGTTGTCGTGAGGCTCGAACTTGGTGGCAATCATGCTTTCTCCAAACTGCTTCCTACGGCCCAGTCTATAGAGGTTGAGGTTGCTCACCTGACACATTCAAGTTCAAATATTAATCATAGCATTACAGTGGCTTTGTCACATTGGGCTCCAAATCAATACAATCTTATAGTTCCTCTTCTTTTAAAATACAAATTGATAAAATTTTAGTTGTCCTAAGGGTTTCCTGGTTTGTGGACCGTGAATTTTTGTTGTAAGATCAACTGAATAGGAAACTTTAATAGAACAAGAAGACAGATATAGGAAGCAAGAAGAGTTTAACCATTGACTGACGTACAACGTTCAATGTTTAATACGTTGCCTCACTACCGTTTCGAGGCTGGCTGAATCTGTTATGAGTACAGTTGTGGCAATTGCTATCAATTTGAAACGGTTGATGGGGTTTGGTACTGGTTGTTACTGATTGAAACTAGTGGGGTGCGTCTGTAGAATAATGGAACAGTTGGGTGGATAGATGAGGGTTGAGACATGGAAATATTAAATAAAATAATTGTATGATAAAGGAATTAGGAAGGGGTGTAACTGTCTATTTTAAAGGAAATATTTACCCTGAGGTTGATCGCGCCCATTGCCGTAAATACCCTAAGCCAGATTTTGATGTGCTGTGATTTAGTAATTTATAACATGAAAACCTTATAACTAAACCACTACCTGAAAATGTAAGAATTGCGTTGACGTGAATAACTAATAATGAACTAACTGTGGAATATGAAACCCTTATTGAAGTAATGTAATTTGGGAATAAATTACTCGGATTGACAGCATAGAATAATTGAACAATTGTAAAACCATGTGAATTTGTGACATTGTTTCAACAAGCTGAATGCCGGTTCCTTTTAAGGAGAAACCGATATTAAGTTGTAAAACTACATTCTGAAGCCCCTTGGTTTCCCCCCCCCGGCAACCCCTAACTAAAGGTTAAACTATCACATATTGCTAATTCTGACTACAGGTACCTAATAATTTACTTCTTATATCTAAATAAGAACAGTCAAAGCCAATTCCTCCTAACTCTACTGATTGCTTCTGATGTCTACCAATCGCTTCTGACTTTGATAATCGATCCTGTCATCCGTCAATGGGCTTAAAAGAGCATAACACATTTTTTAAACCTTTAGACCAATTTTGGATTGTTTAAAGTTCTGAAGCATTGGATTCTGGATTAGTAGACTTTTACCATAGATAAAACATACTCCTTAGTAGATTTCCCATCCTTATGGAACAGCTGAAGCCAATTTTATTGTTAGTTCTGTCCGGTGTACTGTAGATGTCGTGTTTTGTTTACAATTTGTTTATATTATTTTGGGGTTAGTTTCTCACGATTTGTGCCTCACAATTTGGTTATATAGCTAGTGGACAAGTTATTGTTTATGATTAAATAGTTGTATTTGGATAATTGGGGTTTTAAATTACTGAAATAGCAAGAAACAAATTGTAAACAAAACACGACTCTACAGTACAGAACTAACAGTAAAATTGGTTTCAGCAGTTCCATAAGGATGGGAAATCTACTAAGGGAGTATGTTTTATAAATGCTTTTACTGTACCTGTTTGGAACGTAGATGACTCAGTTTGCCCTCGTGCACTGCCTCATGAGCACAGTAGAGGTAGGTGGTGATGGCGTATTTGAGGAATGAGTCCCCGATGGTCTCCAGTCGCTCTAGGTTTATCCCGTCGTTGGCGTTTGACATGGTGAGAGCCTGTAGCAGCACACTAGGACTAGGACCCGGGTGGTGTTCCAAGTCAGGCTGACTGTCGAAACTGAACCCACCACATGCTTCCTCTGTAACAAAACAATCTTCAAAGGTTGAGTCACTGCCCTAAAACCTAGGTTAAACTTTTCTCACACAAAACTGGATTACTATACAATAAAACTTGACAGGTAAAAAAAGGGATCAGAAAAAAATTGAAACATCTAAACATTCCTGTCTGACTTTAGATAAGACTTATTCTATATTGAAAGATGAAGACTTTTGGTATTGGGTAGGACTACACACTTTGTGAATTAAATTTGTAGTTATCACAAACACAAAAAATTACGAGACCTTACCCACTTTCAGACAGAGACTTAACTAACACTAGTGAATCCATACAAGGTGTTTTTTTATGCAACCCAATATTTTTTTTTTCTTCTTTTTTTTTTTGTCCTAAGGACGCTAGGCACGAGCCTGGGATTGTTTTTCACATTACTTCAGGCTAGACCTAGGGGTTGCGGCATTATCACTTGGATAGAATCCATTGGTGACTTGGCGGGGATCGAACCCGGGACCTCAGGGACTGAAGTCCCGCGCTCTAACCACTACGCCAGCTCGCTCCCCCGATGCAACCCAAATTACAAGTACCATAAGTCACTGTTTAACGACAAAACAAGCTCGTATTTTGGTATCGCTTTATTTTTTTTATTTCATTGCCAATCCGCTGATATGCATTTTTGCATAGTTATCTATGAGTTTAAGTGTTATTGGGAATTTTCATTGTGAATTAGCATCAACCTGGCGTTTTCGAAAGCTCTGTTGCAGCATGCAAAAAAAAACCATATTAGGTCTTATTTACAATAAATTATCAATAACAATAAACCCCACAGATAACTGGAACAAAGCATTTTAGCTGATCGGCAACAAAGTAAAGGAAACTGGGATACAAAATATGAGCTAGTTTTGTTCCTAAAAAGTATCCCACAGTAGTTGTAATTATTTGTGTTGCGTTTGGAAAAAGAACACCATGTATTAAAATGCTATCTAAAATTTGAAAGGTTAAGCCGGGTTTTCCTAGGCGCGGAGTCGGCCAGCGGAGAGAGGAACGCGGAGAGCGGACTCAGCTTGTCTTAGGTAATTTAATGTTACTGTTTTCCTAGCAGCGGAGCGGAATGCCATGTTAATTTCAATTCCGCTCTCCGCGTTCCTCTCTCCGCTGGCCGACTCCGCGTCTAGGAAAACCCAGCTTTAGAAGACATTCAACTTACAATATATTGTTGGAAAGGAAAAAATAAAGTGGGTTTACCCTCTTGGGCCAAGAGTCTTGGCTAGAATAGTTACAAAGTCTACCACTAGACTGCAGCACTTTGAAAAAAAAAATAGGTTGCTAAGTGTGATTACATTTTTGTCTACATATTAACTTCAAAACAAATCATTGAATAGTTTTGAAAGCAAGTCTTTTTTCAAATTTTACTTATAAAAACTTTAAGTGTATGGTAACAGTTTCACTAGTTAATATTCAAAACATAATTTGATCCTAAGAATAATATATAAAACCTGTGAATACCACAAATTAAAATGATTATTGTCTAGTTTTGTTACACAGTATTTTATGACACTCAAACACATTAAAAATAGTACTTACCTGTATCAAAATCCTCTAATGAAATATTTGAGTCTGCTTTGGGAGTTTTGTTGATTTTCTTCACATGATTTACAGGAGAGTTTATTTGCAGCTGACTAAGCATTTCAGATGGCATTGCATAACCTGTCAGCTCAAACTCCAGCGTTTTCTCCTCCGCCACACTAGTCAGCTTATCCTTCCCTTCATCTCTGCAGATGACAAAGGGTACGTCGTGGCGCACTAACATCTCGCTGTTCTCGATTTGTTGCTCAATCTCTTTGGTCGCTTTGTCAAATCTTTCTCTCTCGATGTTTATTTCACTCTGAAAATTACCGAGGTTTTTAGTTTTTATTAACTAACTTAGTACAGCATATACAAAATCTATATCAAATGTAAGCCTTATAAAAAAGGCTTGCCAGCAGAAATTTTTATAGCACTTAAATGTCTTTTCTTTCCTTTTGAATCAGTAAGGCAAAACTTTGAACTGTAGGAATATTTAATTTTGTACAAAAAAAACTTACATATATAATTCAAAGAATCTTCCATTTACCATGAGTATACATTTTCAAATAAAACATACAATAAATAGATAGATAAATTAGGGCGATTTTTTTTAATATGAGTATAGCTCCGTAGTTCGAGCGTAGACCACAAGGCTCGCTGCTTACTGGCATCGTTTGTAAAGAGAATTACGATTTTCAGCTCTGTAGATGGTATTTACACTTCACTGTGTATGAAAAAAAAATTGAATCTACCTTTGCAGAATAAGGTCAGGATTTTTTTTACTTTTTTGATTGTGTAATCTTTGAAAACGCGTATTGCGATCACAATAGTTAAAGGTCCTTGGGCTCTATTTTCCGGATTGGTGATTGATCAATCTAGCTTTTAGGCCAGGCTTGGCTTGAAAATCAAACCATACACACTCCTCTATGTTGTGAATTGAGAACTCCAAATATCAGGTCTTATTTTTGTAATAATCCCAAGATTTAACCCTCCGAGTGTTATTTGTCGAAATTTCGACTCACAAACACTGTTTACGGTGAAGGCTCTATGACTGACAAAATCGGATTGAACTGGATCGAGTTAGGTATCGTTTTATTTGGCAGATTCTAAGCTTTCTCCCGAGGTCTGTCTCTAAGCGTTTTTTTTTTTTGAGCGGATCATAATTGTAGCAGACAGCTGACGTGCGTATTTGTAAACAGCTTGGTTAACCTCGCACCGATGACTGATGTGTTTTATTACGTTTATCATAGTTTTAGTGTTAAAAATCAATAGTAGTGATATACGTGGTGCATAATAAGAAGATTTAAGTGATTTTGAAGGGCTGGTTGATGATCCTGAAGAATTAGGTAGTGATATTGATGTAAATTATCAGCCAGATTCCTAGCTATGGTTAGGCTATGCATTCTTAGCTAAACGCTATGTATTGAAATCTGTTTTTTGCCCATAACTTATTTATTTGCAAATCTACTTCCTTATATTATTATATATTTGTAATCCTCATAAAATTTAGAACTAAGTGGCTATTTTCAAATATTTATAGGCCTATAATTTATACAATTTCATTGAGCGCGAACTTATTTTTTTTTTTGAAAATTTTCCAAAAAATTTGTTTTTACTTAAAAGATTTTTTTGAAACAAATGTTCCTTATGCTTTATGTATAATATTGAAGCCCGTGATTTTCCAAACAAAATGGTATATAGAACAGTATAATTAACATTGTTTTTAAGCTTCTCAGATCCGTTTTAATAAAACCTTGCAAATGCGCAAAAAATAGGCAGACATTAAGGCCAAAACTAGGGACACTCGGAGGGTTAAATAAGGTTTTTCTGACTAACCGTCATACAGGCTGAGACCTAGTCTTTTACTAACCTCCATGACTGTGCTTGTGGCGTTGGTGTCTTGCCATTTCCAGTCTTCAGGCTGCTCTTCTTCTTCCCCAAAATCATCATCTTCTGCCTCCGCCAGATAGTCACTCTTGAATGTGATTCTCAACCCTCGTCCTGTACTAGGTCCTTTCTCATTACTGTCACAGACATAACACAAGTCAGAAAACACTTCTATGGTTACTAACAGCTAAGACAACAACAATAGGGTTAATAGTGTGGCAGGCAATTGATTGGTGGGACAAAACTTCTCCCCAATGAATAATTACCAAAGTGATTAATCAACTTGAATCATTTTCTGACAACAATATGATTTCTTAATGGACTACAACACTACTCTGAGCCATTGTAAAGCACATATGTTCAATCTATATTTGCCCTTGAAATTAAAACCAGAATCATCCAGTGTTTTAACATAGTAAAGTTTATAAGTCATCAAGTATAAATAACAGTAGTTCGGTGGCGTCTTGGGCGGATAGACATTGTAGGTTTCAAACCAAGCGCCTGAACTACAGTAGAGCACCGGTTATCCAAATGTCAAATCCGAAATGTCGGTTAACGATCACCACCAAAATGGTCAAATTCAAATCTACTCCCGCCAATATCGGCTGGCAGTAACGCACACAGTGACATGGTGATTAAGTGCCGTCACGCAGGCCCTACACGTACACACATAACCTCACTTTGTGTCAGTGACAGTTACATCAGTGATCGTTGTAGCGAGAACGTGTCATTTTTTGTTTGCTTTTTTGACTTAAAAATGTAAGCAAAAATGCATGTTTTACCTAGTCTGACAAACTTAAAATATTAGATAGCCTAAAAAACTGAGTAAGTGGTTACATTTAAGTCGGTGATCCAAGGACTTTTGACAATTTGCGATTTCTAATTTGTACATAATACTGTGTTTAAACATTCCTCTACACTGATCTCTCAAAAACGATGTTTTATTCAAAATCCACCAATCAAACATTGTGGTAGATTAAGTAAACTTTGATCAATGGCTAACTATATGTAATGCTGAGTGTGCTATGCTTTATTGCTCTATTTACAGTAACTAAAGACAATCACGGTGATGTGGTAGGATATGCCAAAGATCTCGGTGATATAATATATCTTATTTATATATTTATATTTATATAATATATATTATTTACTTGTGCTGACGATCATAGTAGCATTACAGTATATAAACGTCTCTACAATGATTGTTAATGTTGTTTGTAGCTCCTATCATCCACTTTATGCCTAGATTGAGGGATTATAATCAACGCTCTACTGTATCTTATTACGGTCACCACAGGCTTGGCTTACCCATGTGACTTATATCCCTACCTACCTTTAGATCTCCGCACAATCCAGTAATTCTATGATTACAATTAGTTCTAGTTTTTTCATATGCCCACAGAGACGTAAGATCCAGAGGAAACATTAAATGGTACACTTAAGTTTTGTATAGCAAGTCACTTGTGTTTAGTGCAAATTCGATTGGTCATCCCCTTCCACTCTCCTCTCCTCTCTCACCATCACATACTACAGAGCTCAAGCTGCAGGAAGAGCCTGTGCGCTACAACTGCCGTTCAGGCTCTTCCTTGCTCAGTACTAGAATATTTCCGCCCCACTACTCCAGTACTAAAAGTGTAAGGTTGTTATATAAGCATGTTTCCTCTGTTGCTTACTACTCCGTGGTATAATTTACTCTGACAATCATGTTTAATTTAAAAATGTCAAACAAATAAAAAAAAAAAACTAGCAGAACACACCTTTCAGAGGAATGTTCCGTCATTAAGATTTCGCTGCTGAGGTCTGACTCTACATCTGAATCGTAGAGACACAGTTCGGTTCCACCAGGACCTTCTGCACAATCCCAACTGGTAGGGGAGCAGTACCTCACCTGAGGAGAAAAATATTTAACTTACGAGTTTGAATTACCCTTGAGCCTTCTCACTAGGTCGCAACCACTTTTACCCCTTCACACAAGGTGACTGCCAACCCGTGGCTGAGACATTCTTGATAAAAAGTACTCTGTTTGTTGTCGTATGATTCATTTATCAAGGTGGAATTGATTTTCTAGCTTTTTTCCTCGTCAGAGACTTTTCCTTTCTTTTTTGGTTTACCAACACATTCGGTAGACCTACCTACTTCTACTAATAAATTTTCACTTCTATCCAGAAATGTATTGCCCTATTCATCCATATCGTAAAGAGGCATTAAAATGTAAACCAAACAAAGCAACATAAATAATGTTATACTAAAAAACAGCTGCGAACTAAGAAAGTATCGTGTGTGAGTAGCTTCAAACAATTTGACATCAGTGACAGAAGGGTGTACGGGGAAGCCAATCAGACGACAAAACAAGCTGTGTGCATCTCCAAGAGCTAGGTCGCAGCTACCTGATGTGAAGGGCCAGGTATATTAAAATGGCCTGCTACGAGTTTGGTCACTTAAAAAGCTAGCAGTTCTTTGGCAACTGGGTGGTTGCCACCGGGGTGGGTAGCTTCGATCTGATTGTGTGAAGGGCTCCATAAGACTCAATGCAATTTACGGATCTAGTGGCTGACAAGTGGCTTCGACCTAGTGAGAAGGTGGTCTTTGATGTGTAAGAGAATTTGTTAAGAATAGCTAGTCTAGTAGTCATCGGACGATCATGCTTTCCTATGATTCCTAAGTCATTGTATCATCATTACTGGTGTAGTTCCATGAGTATTTTTTGTTCCCAACAGATAGTTTTGCCATGTCATTCAGCAACATTTTAACTGAATTACAATGCATTGTTTAGTCGGTTGGCAAACTTGTTGATTTATTCTTTAAAAAGCATTATCTGTATTTTTTGTGACAGTAGCTAACTAAATATAGGGCTTAAGTATATTATTTTTCTTTACAGGTAAACAAAAGAAACATTGTATCCGATATTATAAAATATATAGTACAGTATTTGAAAACAAACTTTTACTCAAAGTGACAGACAAAAACAAAACAAAAACTTACCATTTGCAAATTATCAGGAAGTTTGGCATTAGGGTCGAATTCATCACTAATTTCAGCCATTTCATTGGACCAAGTGCCAATTTCCAACCAGCCTCCATCTTGCTCACAACTATCAGCGTCGCTTTCATCAGTTTTATCTTTGTCAGCTGGATCATCATTCTCTGGTTCGTCTTCTATTTCTTTCAGCACTACCGGTTTGGGACTCGGTTTGGACTTAGACAAGGTATTCTTCTGATTTTCTTCTTTGGATTTTTTCAAGACATCAGCCAGACTCCATCCAAAATCCAAAGGACTCCATTCATATTCTGAAATAATATTTATTAGAGATAGTGAACAATGATCTTGAAATTGTAATCAATATTAAATTAATATAAAAATATTGAATTATCACAATACCAGCCCAAAAGAAAATGTCAAGGGTTTTTTCAAAATAAAGATTTTGGTTGTTAGGGCTATTGCCAACAAAATAAACATGACAACAAATCAGTGCATTTAGGTTTCAGTTACTTGAGGGTTTTACAAGAAAAAAAGATAGATTTGTGGTCAAAACATTTATTTGACCTAACCTAAGCAAAGTGACATAGCCTACTTTTACTTACTGAAAGGTAATTACTGTAACTATTTTAAAAATGTTTAATGTCTGGACAGATTAGTATTATTTTAAACCGATTAGTTGCATGTAGTGATGGTCAAAACCAGAAATTTTGAATCTCAAAACCGAAACCAAAACTTTAAAAATCGAATCCCGAATCTCGAATCTCAAAACCTAAACGCGAAACTTTTTTACTTAGCTGGTTACAAAGGTCAAGGTTACAAAAAATACACATAATCATAAAATGTTAAGTATGCAATCAAAACTGAAAGAGATCGACTCCTGACCGTGACATAACATAAATATGTGAATGTGACATAATTTTTCATAAACAACCAACAAAAAAAATAAATTAAACTTCTAACACCAACATAAACATGAATATTAGATTAATTAGAACATTTAGTGGTCAATATTTCTTTGTGTTTAGAAAATATTGATGTGAAACTGAATTGTACCAGTTATAGTATTTAAGATACCTTTTGAAGTTCAGGATAAAATTTACTTGTTTCACTACTGTTAATGGTGATGTTTGCTCTGTTGCTACCAGCTTGTTTGGAAACAGTGTTAAAAACAATAACAATGGCACAAAAAAATGTCAGCAGTTTCAAAAATAAAACTACCAAAATCTTCAATTTCAAAACTTTTGAATCTCGAAACTTGGTGATCGAATCTCGAAACCGAAACTTTCCTAAGTTTTGATGGTTTTGAGATTTGAGATTCGGTTTTGACACATCACTAGTTGCATGTTTGTTGGGAAGAAAAGAGATGGGAGATGGCCAAATACTCTTGTTTTGCTGAATTTAAACTGTTCACTTGAGATACAAAAACCTAGTTTCACATGTTGAACAGCTTTGAACAGGTTTAAAAATTAAGAAACATAATTAACCGAATGATTTGGAACAGTAATGTAGTTTTTTTATATTTTTGTTACATTCCAATTTAGGTCAGATAACCGACTCAACTGTATGTACATGTTATTACTTACCACTGTCTAGTGTGAGCTGGCCAAGTCCAACTTCACGAGCGACTGTCGTCCGTATCTCGTCTGCCAGCAAGAGAGCGTTGATGCGGTACAAGATACATGGCAGACACACTGCCTGACGCCACAGACTGGCTGGGAACGGATGGATCATACACAGTTCTGGAACTAGGATCTGCTTCTGCTCCAGATTCTCCCTTTTGGCTCGTTTGGTTTCTTCGCTGCTCGTTGGGAGAGCAACACCCTTGCGATTTACGTATCTAGTAAGAAAATCATCAGTGATAAAATGGTTATTGTCATATCCCTGAGTGAATATTTGATAACATCTCTGTATAAAATATGTAATTTTCAAATAATGGTCAAGACAGATGTTATTGTTTACTGTTTACATTATTCAGTTGTTCATTAGAAACTATATAAAGGAGTTTACTTTCAGTCACTATTCAATAAATATAGCTTTCCAGTGCATGTATTTCCAATTCAAGTCACAAGTTATGCAAACACACAAGTCTGGAACAAAATCTCAAAAGAAATTTATTTTTAAATCCATCCATAGTACTCTGGGTTACAACTGATTTAAGAGGTAACAGTTTAGGCAAAATTTAATTAACTCATTTTTTATCTAATGGTCACTTCAAATACTAAATTATTAAAATACTTTCATTATCTTAAGTTTTTGGTAAAAAATTTCTAGATTACTATTTGGGACGAGGACAAAATAAGGTGTGGGCCTATTTCAACCCAAATACGAAGGAAAATTAACAATGACTATAGATGAGCGGGGTCTTTTGTAACTTGGTAACTGATTAAGACTGCCATATATTAGAAGCACAATGATCGAGGACAGTTGTGTCAAGTTTCCAACCATCAAAAATCTACTCGTCTCAGAATCAAGGTGTCAAGCATTGATTAAACTAATAAACTACTTAGTACTTAGTACTTAGTAGCTATAGTAACTACCCAGTAGTAGCTACCTTGGAGTCAAGAAATTTAATCTTGCCGAGGTGTGATCTACATCTAGCAATGGCTGTTCACTGTTCTGCACTGTGATGCCCGCTACTTCTTCTGATAATACTCTTCAAACGTCTGGTAGTCTGAGCCTGCGGAATGAAGATTTTGGGTTCAGCTGGCTACAGATCTCAGCCACATAGAAATACTGAAAAATATAAAGCAATAGTTAAACACTGTAATAGCAACCAAATAAAAGGATCTGTGTGTGGGGGGAGAGGAGAAGGGAGACTGTTTAAGATGCAGTAGGGTTTGCATCTTTAAAAATCAGCTGTCTACAATTATAGAGTTGACAAGTTAAGCATGCGTATACACCAATGTGCGTTTTTCTTTTTCCAGTAACGGTGGAGACAAGAACCGATATATATATATATACATGTTTAACCTCAGGATGGCAAAACAACAATAATTAGCACCAAAATTAGTTGTCAGGTGTGGATTAAAATTAGAGGGATGTGGATTAAAATTAGAGAGACTTGATGTCGCCTAAGTTTGACAAAAGATAGCAACCCCTCAAGATGTTAAATGCTCTGCCTCAACTAGTCAAGATCCTTCCCACTGGGCAATTTAGAACAAGAGTCGGGAATTGGTTAAAGAAAAATTCTTGACTATTGTTGTAAAGTAACAGTATTTTCCATATCTTATCTAGCCAAACGTACCTGAGGCTGATCTTGGTTTCGATACCATGGCATCACAACAGCATCGTGGTACTTCACTGCATCAAAGACAAACATTTGACGTTCCTCGTCCGAGATGTTGTGGGGCATTTCTCCTCGTCGAGAATAGATTAGTTTGAGAAATTCCCAATCTACTTCAACGGTCATGTTGTCTTTGCCTGAAAGAAACAAAGCGATATATTCATAAGTATACAGTAGGCCTAATGTACTAAAAGAAAGAGTGTATTCGATGTAGTCTATTGTGTAATGGCAATTTGTAAGCTGATCTTATTCAGTAACAAAGCTACACAGATCATCTCACACCATCCTGCACTCATCTTTTACTCATTTTGGGTTAAAATACGCACCAAGGTCGCGTCCCCATCTCAAATAATTGATAATTGAATTGAGATTCAACTCTAATGCTTGATTCTTTAAAATTTACCTGAAATATTGTGCAAAAACAATGTCCACTAGGAAAATTTTGTTTTACGAGTTCAAAGGTCATATGTGAATGATAGCCCCTTACGTGCATTACCAAGAGCATTAGCTTGATTCCACACACCAGATGATGCAGCACCTACTTAGATTATAGAGCTAAATTTGGCTGTGTCACAAGACAATTGATCCTGCGTATTGTTTATTGATTTAACACATTCGCTGCAGTGGGTCCACCCTCCACCGGTGGATTCCGCGCGACTTCACTAAAGAGCGGAGGGTCCACCAGTGGGGGAGAGTGCCTTTGATTGTTTGGACTTTGGATGCTTGGTGTGGTTCAGCCACTTGTACAATATGGTTGGTTCGTTGCTGCATTGTTCCGAGAGACTGTACATATTCCACAATGCAGTTTGTTTGCGCCTTGGCGGGTGCGGAAAGGTCCACCTATGTACCCTAAGTTCACGTTATTATTTTTGTATTTTGACTACATATATAAATATTTGTATGTATATATCTTTGTTTTTTAAATTCTAAAATGGACTCTGTGAAATGGACTTGTATCGCACGATGCGCTGTAAGCGGCTAGCGGCGTGGCAGATTAAAACGCTACGGCAGCGGCAAGCCTATGCTATTTTTATTTTGCTCGAGGTGTGGGAGGTCCACCAGTGACTGATAAACTTTGACCTTCAAAAATCAACAATTGGAGTCTTGGTTATGACTTTTACCAGTGGTTCCCGACATTTAGACTTAAAAGTTAGGATTTTAACAAATAAAGATTTTTAGCATTTATTATAGTTATTAAAAACTTTAATAACTAATGAATGTGCTAACTTGTCTATTTAGACTCATGTATTTAATTTAATAATTACACAAGGTTGGTAAAGAAACAAAAAATCATTTCCGATAAAGAAATCAAAAACGCTTTTACGGGAAAGTGATTCGAAACAAAAAAAAATTTATGGATTATGGATATGTTATGGATTGAACCTGGCATTCTCACACAAAGTCCAAAATGCTATCCACTAGGCTAACATAACACCTAGCTTGATAATTACTTGACTCTGGGGTAATGCCCCTTACAAAGCCCCTGAACCAGGAGCTCTTCTAATGTACATAGATAGGGTTGGGCTGACCAAAACTTTAAATTCTTTTCCTGTTGCAGGTATAAGATTTTTTTAACACTTAACCTCTGCAAGTCAAAGTGTTAAGGATTGGTTGGTTGCAGACCCATTTTATTCCTTGCAGGAGTTTTTCATCTCAAAATGTAACACAATGAAGTAAACAAAAAATGAGAAGAGGTTTATTAAATGTTAACACTGCCTGCAGCTATGAGTGTATTTTGTTTTTTGAGTTTTGTACTTTTTTCCTATTTTGTAAAATTTTAATTTTTGTTCCTTAGCATGTTTTAGAGTTTTATCCATTTATTTTCCATGTAGTGCTTTTTGGACTTTCTGGACTTAAGATTGTGAGTCAGGAGTAAATGCAACTATGTTTTTGCTAGTTTTACTGACTTGGCCAATTGTAATTTACTGAAGCGCTCAATAAAACTTGAACATTCCCTCAACTTTAACATCAAAACATTTTCTATTACTCCCAATACTCCCATATATCTCATGTTGATGTTTCATCAAGCAGCCTTTTGTCATCTAAGTAATTAGACAATACAAACGTCACTTACCCTTTCTCGTGGGTACAATCATGTACGAGTTCTCAGATGCATTTGGGTCAAACAGCATGAGGTATTTCTGCAACCTCAGCACACTGGTGAATGTATAGTTGAGAAAAGTAGCGATCATCTCCAACTGTTCTTGAGAGAGACGAAGATCTTCCTGTCTCAACTCAAGGCTAACACGCACTTCTCCTGACCTTGTGAAGATTGGGAACGGACAAATCTGAAGGGAGAACAAATTGGTGAAAAAATACAAATCATCTTCAGCAGTTCATTTGTAACAGTAAATAAATACAAACTTGCATTTTGTCATAATCTCATGTTTTAAATCAAGTGAAGAGAGCAAATTAATTATTTCAAAGGCAAAATGAATAATGGGACGCGTTGCAGAAAGTCAACAGTCCCGGAAGATCAAATAATTTATACCTGTGCCGCTAGGTCAAAAACTACAATGTTTGCAGTGTCTGTAGATCAAAAATCCCAGTAAGTCAAATAGTACAGTCCGAGCTAAAAACGTGGTCTATGTTAAAGCAATTGACTTATTGGGAATTTGACCTAATGCAACAGCAGTTTTAATATAACGAAATAAGATAAAATATAAGTTCAGTTTCGCTGAGTCAACAGTGCCGGAAGGTCAAAAGTATAATCTGTTAAAAACAACGATAGTCCTCTCGACGCATGACTTCAATAATTTCGTGTTTTGGTGTACTTAAAGTTGTGCTAAAATTTTGAAAATTGGCACAGAGCTTCTTGGTTAGTCCTACTCGATGGCTATTTTGTTGTTGGAACTTTAAACTATTTACCGATCTAATTAATACAAATTGATATGTATGGTGAAATAGTTTTAAATTGTGATTTCTAACATGAAAAAGTTAGCATGCGAGATTTTTTGTTGTTTTTGGGTTAGAGAGGTTTCGTCTGTGGCAAAGTTGTAGCCAAAAGTGTGATGCGTAAAATAATTTTTTTTTGAATTTTTTACAATCAGTGGTTCAATAGATAACTTGGGTTGAAGAGGACGGCAAATTTAGCATTTCGCAACGCATGGAAAGAACTACATCGTACGATGCGACTGCTGAGTGGACTTTAAATTTACAGTTCTGTTCTAAGAACAAGAAAAAGATGAACAGATCACCAGTACATTCATATTATTTATAAAACATCTTTTTGTATTACCAGCTTACATTTTTCACTTATAAGAATACATCATAAACAGGGTGTTAAAAATAAGCGGGGAGATACTTTTCAAGATTCAAGATTCAAGATCTTTATTTGTCATTAAGCAATACAAGTATTACAATAGACATCGTCAAAGTTGTTTTTTTTTTTTTTTTTTTTTTTTTAATAATACATACAGTTATTTCCTGTTAGAGTAGGCCTAATAGCAAGAATGCACCAAGTGAGTAGCAATCACTCTTTAAAATATAACAGTTAAACATAATTAACTCTAAAATAAATAAATTAACAATTTACATGTCAATGATCAAAAATAAAATCTGTAAATATAATAACAATAAAATATTTAAATATAATAACAGTTAAATAATTAAATATATTAATACTAACATTGATGTTCTAAAAACATAGGGAACTAATATCACAGGCCAGATAATCGTCTATGGAGTAAAAAACATTTTCCTTAAGCCATTGTTTTATAATAGAAACAAATTGTTTAAAGGGTACAATCCATGCCTTTTTTGGCAATTTATTGAATAGTTGTATCTTCATACACATGTGGCTGCTCTTTGTTTTTTCTAATCTTACAAAAGCTAAATCTAATTGATAGTTATTCCTAGTATAGTACTGATGAGTTTCGTTTCTAGTTGTAAAATTTTTCAAAGACTCCTTAACATCTATTAGACAACAGTAAATATATAGATTAGGCAAAGTCATTATTTGTAATTCTTTGAATATTGGTTTACAAGACTGTCTTTGTGGTATATTCTTGATTGCTCTCAGTGCCTTTTTTTGCCATCCAAGAGCAGTCTGTGCACTGCAAGAGTTGCCCCATAAGGTTATACCATATCTTAGATGGGAATGAAAAAAAGCATAGTATGCAGTAATCAGCATATCTGCAGTAACACAGTGTCTTAGTTTTCTGAGAAGACAAACCACCCTGGCCAGTTTCTTACACAATTGCTCTAAGTGACTATCCCAACTTAATCTGCTGTCTAAATATATGCCTTTACCTAGTAATTCCTTGGGTCAAAATAAACAGAAAATCAAGGATAACATTTTTTCGTTTCGTTAACCAGATATCCACCATTTTGTATTTTTTACAAACAAATATTTATCTTTGCACTTTTCCAACCGATTATTATGAAACTTGGTATGTATGTTAAGGTAGGAGAGACCCATGTTATAATTTTTCAATTTTCAATTTCTTTATTCATTGAGAAGTATACATAATACAGCATTTGAATAGTGTCAAAGATTACAATTATTAAAATATAAAATACAAATTAAAAATAAATCTTAAATTAAAAAATACATCTCCCCATACAGATGCCTTCTTCTAGTATTCTTGAGGGAGGTGGAAAAATTCTTCTTGAGAATAAATTGCCATGTTTATTAAGAAATTTTTTAGTTTTGTTTTAATCTTTTTTGGATCTTTTTCATTTCTAATTCCTCCAGGGATATGTTTAAAAAAAACTTTTACCAGCAAATGATGGCTTTTTTTCATAAAACTTTAATCTGTGCCTATTTTGCAAAATCTGATTTTTTTTCTCGTTTCATATCGGTGAACCGGTAGATTGGATACATCGGATGAGGTTTTATTTTTAAAAATTAAAATTGAATCATAAATATACTGCCCATAAACAGTTAGTATGTTTAGCTGTTTAAAGTGCTCTTTTGCCGAGACATCAGAATTTAGTCTGAGCATTACTCTCACTGCTCTTTTTTGATGTTTTAATATTTTATCTAGATTGATTTGAGTTGTTGCTCCATATAGACAGATACCAAAGGAAATATGTGAATGGATATATGCAAAGTAAATGTTTTTCAAAGTTTTGACATCACAATACACAGACATTTTTGAAAGGGCAAAAATTCCAGAGTTGATTTTTGAAACTATTTTTTTTGTATGATCATTCCAATTCAAATTTTGATCTATTGTTAGACCCAAAAAGTTTGTGCTGGTCTTTTGCTCAATAAGTTGCGAGTCATACATTATTATTGGGTGATTGGAATTTTTATTTTGTGATGTTTTAAATGTGATAAAATTAGTTTTTTTGTTATTTAATTTTAGGTTTTGGCACACCAGATAACTGCCCAAATTTCCAAGTTCTAGAAAAGCAGAAATTTCCGTTTGTTCCAGTGTAGGAGAGGAAATAATTAAATTAGCATCGTCAGCATACAGGCACAATTCACTTCTAGGTCTACATACTAGGACACTGCTTATGTCCTTTAAATAGCACAAAAATAGCAATGGTCCTAAAATAGACCCTTGAGGCACTCCATATTTTATTGTTTTAATTTCTGAGGCAGTTTGAATAATTTTATTATTTTTTAATTGAGTAATTTCAACATATTGTGTTCTATTACTCAGATAGGAATTAAACCATTGCAATGCATTTTTAGTTATTCCAAGCAATTTCAATTTATTCAATAATATTGGATGTTTTACACTATCAAAAGCTTTAGATAGATCCATGAATATGCCAATTGTTGTTTCACCTCTATCAACCGATTCAATAACTGACTCTAAAAATCATACTGCTGCAGTGACTACCGACCTTCCAGGCCTAAAACCATACTGGTAATCATCAAGTAAGTTAAACTTTTCAAGATAATCACTCAACTGATTGTAAACAATTTTTTCATAAATTTTGGAAACAGTTGGAAGAAGTGAAATGGGTCTGTAGTTTATTACATCTGTCTCATCGTCTTTTTTATGCAGAGGGATAATTTTTGCCTTTTTTAATTGAGCTGGAAACAAACCAGAAATGAAGGAAGAGTTTATCAGGTGAGCCAAAACTTTACTGATATTATGACCTACTTTCTTAAGTAAATTAATAGGTACATCATCATGGCCGCTAGACTTTTTGTTCTTTAGCGATTTCAATACGTTTTCCACCTCCTTCTCACAAACACTCTTAAGACTAAACTTAGGTTTCAGAAAGACATCTTGTTGAAAACTGGATGGGATTTCATGTGTTACATTTGAATCCCATTGGCTGTTATTAGGATCTAGATCTTCCACCACATTTAAAAAATATTCATTGAAGATATTTGAAATTAATATGGGATCCTCAACAAGATTTGTGCCTCTGTAAAGAAAAAAAGAAAAAAAGAAAAGGGTTTCCCCTTTCTACTACTTTTATATATTTAAATATTGTATTTAAATATATTTACTCCTTGCAATGCTCTTTAATGAATTCTTTACAAATGTTGGTTGCCCCTAGGTTGGAAGAACTCTAGAAAATAAAAATATCAGACAGAGCTTTTGGCAGTGGAAGCTTGATGTTATAAAAAATATGTGTGGGCCCTGCAAAATATAAATATTCCCCAAAGGTCCTTAGGGGACGCCCTTGGTACTGTTATGGTTCTTCCAAAAATGTAATACCTTTAATGAGAGCAATTTATCAGTCTTAATTCTACACTGAATTTACTTGCTCACTACTACACTAGTGTTTAGTGTTGCACTTAAAAGGTGAATCTTTTGTAGTGGCTTATGATTTACTGAATTACCTTTTGTTTACCAATTAGATACTATTGCATATACTGAATTACCAAGGTTATTGAGAACTAAAAAGTGAGTAACAATTTGATTTATTAAGCAGTATTTAAGATTTACAATGATTTCGGTTTGACAATTTCTGATTGTGTGATGTAATATAAAATATGACCGTGAGTGATACAATCAGACTGAATTGTTTTGTTTGAGAACGTTGAATGGATTTATCAAAGGGGAATATTTGGCGCGGTTTCACACCGATCTCGAAGGTGTCAACGGAGGAGTGGTTTTTAATTTAATTTGAGATGACCAGTGCCAAGCAAGTCCTGTTCGTTGGCCAACGATGTAAATATGAAGGTCGATTCTCGAAGGTCAACTGATTAAACAGTATTGCGTTTAATCGTAATAATATTTACTGGAACGTCGCTTATTGTTTTATGGCTAATTTGGCACTTTGGCGGTTCATCTATATGCAAACTGGCACAGCCTCCGATAACACTTCCGGATTCAGCCGGACCAGCTACCTAATCCCTCCTTTGATATTAATT